CACAGGCGAGCAAGGCGGGCTGCGCTCCGCCTATTAGCGCTGGAAACCTGGCTGCTCCGCGGAGACATCCTCGGTTATACCTCGCTGTTCGCGGCGGCACCTGCAAATATTCCCACGTTTCAACCAAAAAGATGCGCGTATTTGTGCATTTTCTTACCTGTTACGGTGAATTGTGATCAATCGTGTCCTCCTCTGCAGCTCTCTTCCCCCTCCTAGCTCCAAAATGGCGCCAATATGTGTAGATTCAGTGCCCATGGGTACAAACCATCAACGAGTGTGTAGCGCCACCTATGGAGTGAGTGTGTGTAGGCCCCTCAAGTGGTGCTCACATCATCCTTTCACGTAAATGATTCATCCTTTTTAAGATTATTGGATTTCCAAACATACATCTTACTCAGTGGACAGTAGCTGTGGGATATTAGACAATTTTTCCTGTAAGGATTATTCACTCACTAATATTATGTGCATGAAAAATAGCTTGTGTTGCAGAGATTCGACACTTTGATGGTTGATAATTAAAGAAAAGGAGAGTTTTGATATTTCACAGCATATAAAGCAGGGATTTTTAGCCTACCAAATGCTGATGTCCAATACTGGATATCCTAAAATTAAAAAATAGCCTATTAAAAGTAAATAAATCAATGCACTCCAATCTTTATGGTGCTAAATAAGCAGAAAATGCCTTTATTGATGTTTAATCATTCGTGTACTAAAAATAGGAAATTATAGTGTTTACAAAGGATGCAAAAAACTCACATCCTGCATCACAAAGTGCCTTTACTGCCTTGTGCCCTTTTCTGTCGCTCTAAACTTGAAAACCCAATATTCCGACAGCACATGAATGCACCAAGAGACGGTGCTTCAAATGAGCTTTTTTTCTGTGCGAAAAATGATCTCATAAATAAGACTGGGTCACAATAAACATACTGTTCTCATTAGTGTGGCATTCATGTTTCTTCCGAGTAAACTAGCCTACATTTATGATTCATTCAGCCGCCTCTAAATAGTGCCATTCACATTCTAAAGGTGCCTCTGCCTGTTAAAGGGTATTTTATCAAGTCAGTGTGTCTCTATTCATGCAGCCCTTTCTCAGATGCTGCTATGGAGCCTTCAGTTTTCCCCCCTTTTCCTTGCCCTGCTAACCTATTCATTCATACCACACTTTCCTATGCATGAACATCTGTTCCTCTTTAACACTGTAGGTGCATTTACTGTGGTTACATGGGGCTAATTGCAGATTTCCTTCATGCTCCTGAGAGATCCACATGCTTTTAAGCCATCACAAAGGTCTTGCCATGCTGGTTTACAGTTTACAGAGCATCGAGTTAAAAGATGTGTCAGAGATCAGCTGCTTGCTTTGTCTTATTATGATGGGTCCCTGGCCAACATGAGCTATAGGGGGAGCTCCAATATAATGTTTCAGATTTGTAGCCCTTAAATATAAAGCACTTTACAGCAGACATAAATGGGAGGTTGAAGGTTTATAGCAGGGGAGTCAAAGTCATTTTAGTTCATGGGTCACATACACCCAATTTGATCTCAGATGAGCTGGAGCAATAAAACCATCACACAATAACCTATAAGAACCATCAGCTCCAATATTTTCCCTTTTTGTGTAAAGGATATCAAGTACATTATGCAGACGTTCATTATTTTTCAAAACAAACAGCCTGAGATGACGTCAGAAAAATTAGTGCAATTTCAACCGTATGTCTCAGATTTTCCACATTCAGTCAGCCTAATTCTCACTGTCATGACATGTGTATTTATCCATACATTTCCTGATACAGATTCTTTTGAACTGAAGCAGCTGGTTGACAATATTTTGCACAATGTTCAATATCTTTAAACATGGTCACAGTAATGGATTCTCTAATATTCTGCTCAGGGTGGAAAAGCCTCTGAAGCAGAATATAACTTTTCTCCTGAATCCTGGTGGCACCTCTAGTCATCTAGTGGTCTGGATTGGACCCTTTGGTGGGCCTTATGTTTGAGACCCTGGTTCAAAGGTCAGCTTAAAAGCCCACTCTATTAAAGCTGTTTGAAGTATACAAGCCAAGAAATTAGTGGGCATATTGATGTTTTCTGTTTTTCTGTATTGTCTGTTTTCAGCCGTGAATTTAATATAATTTCAGGCTTTAAGGAAAAACAAAGCCAACAGACTTTTGAATAATATTTTTCTTGTTTTAAACTCTAAACATCTGCATAAAATACTTTTAATCAAATCCATTTACTTCAAATTACAATCAGCCTATAGGGTATATTATTATTATTATTATTATTATTATTATTATTATTATTATTATCTAATTATTATTTACCATTAAGATGACACACACATTTCAGAGCCATGTGGCTGAATGTGTAATTTTCCTGAGCTTGTTTTGTCTGTGGCTGATTGATTTTTATATGAGAACACAATATTAGATATAGGCATGACATCCTCAAACATATGGTAACTGAACAATCCTAAATATTTCTGTATATGGCAGCTGAATCTAAGCCTGTGCGCCCCTGTTCTCAATCAGCCAATTAGTGCAGCAAGAAGGCGACTGCTTAAATCTCAACAGGAGCAACTTGGACTGGTTTCATGGCTCCAGGATGGAGGGGTTCCTGTCCACGTTTCCACCGTACACTGTCTGCGACAACCCGGTGTGCGCTCCTGCACCTCAGGAGGACATCAGCTGGGTGAAGAGAGAGGGCCGCTTCATGACCCCCCAGGGCCTCAACTACCTGGAGCTCTGCAAGGCCATCCTGTCCCAGGTCACCCCCAGTTTGCCCCCTCCTCTCAAGAAAGCAAACACCAAAGAGTGCGGCGTGCAGGTGAACGCCAAAGTGGATAAACTCGTGCAGTGCTCGCTGGGTCCCAAAACGCTGTTCTGCGTGGACGGTGAACATCCAAAGTCCCCCAAGAGTCCGGAGCTGTTCACACCGGACGGGAAGGCGCAGCACATCACGCCACCGGTGAGCAACCTGCGCTTCCTCAGACCCGTCTCCATCTATTCTCCGGTGTTTGACCGCAGGATCGTGATGAATAAATTCTGCGATGACGGTGGAAGTGAAGGAGAAGGAGAGTCTGCTGAACAAGCCCAGTCTGACATGGAGGACGAGGCGGATCACAGTGGAGAGGACACAGTAAAGGACTTCAAGACAACTTTCCACAGGTCCTCAAAGGGGTCCAACTTCCAGGTGGGTCTCTCTGTCAGGAAGGAGCCCCTTAAGAGACACAGGAACATCATCATGACATAAAGCCCCATATGAAGTCCCTCTGTACCCCATTTCTGTGTGTGTTGTGCACAATATTCTACACTGTGTGGTGGTTTGATTTAAGACATTAATTTACACTGGTAGCATGGAGCCACAAAAAATGAGGGTCTTAAAAATTAGATTTGGCACAAGGACCTTCTTCAGGATATGCAGGGCTTCATGATCAAGTGAAGACCCTCTGAAGGGCTGTGTGTGACTGCCCTCCTTGGTGCCCCCATGTTTAAACAAACCACAGCAAAGTGCCCCTGTAGTAGATAAGTGCCCTTCCTGTAGAGAAAATGTGATGAAGCATGCCCTTCCAATGGCGATGCAGTGCCCTTAGCATTCCCTTAAATAAGAAAACATGATGAAGTTCCCTCTCAGGTGGCCTTAAAGTTGAGAAAACATCATGCAGTGCCATAGGATGCCCTACATGCCAGAAAGCTTTCTGCATGCTGGTGCCCTTTTTATTCTTCTTCCTCTACCACTGAAATAAGCCAGAATTTGCCACTACTTATCACGTCGGGTCATTCTGTGCTTTAGTGGTGCATATTTCCAAACAGATTGTCAGTTTGATTAGCACAGTGTAATAGCACCTTTTAAACAAGGCGATAAGTGCTTTAAATACAACATAAAAGGCATTAAGACAAGATATAAAAGAAACAGAAGCCGATATAAAATGAAGTACGCTATATAGATAGACCTAACTACATAATGTGTTTCTGTGCACAAATTATCTCTTAACGTTTCAATGGTTGTGTTTAGTTCCTGGAGCAGAGGTATGGCTTTTTCCACTGCAAAAAGTGTAACATCCGGTGGGAGAGTGCTTATGTGTGGTGCATCTCTGGAACCAGTAAGGTAAGAAGTTTGTTGTTTAGTGCTGTTTAGTGTGGTTAAGCAAAATCTGCATTCATAATAATAATTCGGAGTATCATTTTTTAATCAGGTGTACTACAAGCAGCTCTGCCGGAAGTGTCAGGTGGGGTTTAATCCCTACAGAGTGGAGTCCATCCTCTGCAAGGTACTGAATCGTCTTGTTTTTTCAGTTTCTTAAAGCTGCAGAATCCTTAAACTGGGGTCAGAAACCTCCTGGCTGTTCTCTCGCTTCCTCTATTCACGTAACTGTCTCCTCCCCTCTCTCTCTCTCTCAGGGCTGCTCTCAGACCTTCTGCAGCTGTGAGAAGAAGCAGAGGCACATCAACATGAAGAGGCCTCACCGCCAGGACCTGTGTTGTCGCTGCAAGGGCATGAGGTTGTCCTGTGACGCCACCTACAGCTTTAAATACATTGTCTGAGCTGTTCTGCAGTTTCGTACATGTCTCAGATGTTAGTTGCCTCCAGTAACGGACATAAAGAGATTCATATATTCTCCTTCCAGCGAGTAGATGAATCTCTGCTTTGGTTGTTTATTTGAAGCAGCTTCTCAGAAAGGCTCTTTTGTTTCCCTCCATTAATCCTGGAGCTTAACTTAAACATGAAACTATTTTCGTAAGAAGAAATGGAGTCTATGAAATAAACACTGCATGTCAAAACTGGAGAAATTCTTGCAGATTCTAATACTGAATCTTTATAACTTGGCACACCGCTTAAACTCACTTTGGTTGTGACTCAAGCTGCTCGAATGCATGCAACTTTCAGCATAATATTCTAACAGAACGAATGCTAAATAGTCTTTTAAAGTTAAATTAAGTAAAATGATTAAGACATGCTTTAAATGTGATGTGAGGAGGGTTTTAAGTGAAATGCACAAGATATTATTTTGATATGTCTTTTACTTTGACACCGACTGGTACAGAGCATCAACTCAAAACAACTTCACAAAGGCTGTAAAATTATTTACAAGGTGGAAAAAAACAACTACAGTCTTCATCTAAAAAGCTTTAAAAATGTGCAATTTCTTGTTTGGCATGCATGCACACACACGTTCTCCCACACACAGGAAAGACAAAAAAAAAACCATACCCGCATGAGCTTAAAGCTCCCTTTTGTACCTCATACAAACATATCTTTCAGATAAAATATGATTTTTGATAATAAATATTTCAAACACTCCGTACAGTACACAGAAGATGCATGCATGGCAGTTTGATTTGAGAGAACAAACATCGATATAAAACCTAAGTCAAATGAGTGTTGATTTATAGCTGATCAGATATAAATAGGAAAGGGATATTTGTACAGCAAATAGAGGGCGAAACGAGGGAGTCACAAAAAGGGCCGACGACAGAAGTGTTCAGTAGTAGCACAGGTTTTGTTTTGAACGTCCACAATGAGTGCTGAATGTCAGCATTTCCCTTAACGTGTAAGGTAACTACAAACCACACACAAACATATGCTACAACGGTTGTGTGCCCCTAACTATTAACAGTATACAGACAAAGACAAAATATTTGAGTGTGTACATGCACCGTCCTCTTGGCATGTGAACACATAAGGTCAACGTGTTACAGTGTAGGACAGTGAGAAATATACAGTGCGTACACTCACTAATGATGCTACAACTCGCCACGGAGGAGTGCACGGCTAATGGCATGATTAGTCTACCTATGTTTACAACAGTAGTCAGGAGACAAGCTGGTTCACTGATACAGAATATAAACAGAGCGAGGGCAGCATGAGGAATTACGCTTGAATATTCTGCATCCGCTCTTTGTCAGTCTTTCAGTCAGTCTGGAGAGGTCAGACTTTTAGGGAGCAAAAAGGGACACTAGTACAGTAGAGAGCATTCAACTGGGTCATGCATTGCACAATTTCCTCCAAAGGAGATCTAAAAACAGTAGACACAACAGGAGAGAAAGTTAATCCAGCGTTTGGCTTTTCCTTCTCAGCGAAAGTGACAGCCTTTTCTCTCACAGTAACAAACAGTAACGTCACCTCCTTTCTGTCACATCTTTTTAAAAACTAATACCAAAACTCCGTTTAGTGCAATAGCGAAAACTACCAGTGATGTTACGTAGTGTCACAGGTAGTTTCCTCACTGTCTCTGGTGATACTACCAGCAGACTATGTCCTTCTTGAAGGAGGCAGCAACAGTCAATCAAGTTCAATCAGGTCTTGAGTTCCTCTGGGAAGCGAGTTAAAAATCCAAGCTAAGAGCCTTCACAGGTCCTCGGGTGCAGAATAGATTTAGTGCTGAACGATGACCATCAAGCAGGACTTAAACTTAGAGCACATCAATTTTACAACAAGTGGCCGTAAAGCGAAGTTAGCGCTCAGATAGAATCACATCAGGTCATCTTTATCAGCAGGCAGCAGTCTGTAGTATCTGATGGGTTCAGCAATGCTTCCCATTATGTGTGGGACATGATTCAGTGTTCTTTAAGTTTAACATCTGCAAGTATCTCTGGTATGTGTCATCTCCTTTTCAGAAGCAAAGATCTTAGCGTTGCTCAGGAATAGTTGGTTTCAGGCATAGTAGGTTCATAGTAGCTCTTTAGGTCCTCTGGCACAGTACGTTAAAGTCTCAGGTCTGGACGTCTGATGGTTCAGCATTCAGGAGCCCCCCTACTTTCAGTAGGGGCAGGGCGGCGTGCCCCACCTTTCCCAGGTAGCGAGATAAGGGCGCAGCAGCTCCACCGAGGGAGCAACAACAACCCCATGCTGCAGCCTCTCCTGGGCCGGTGGGACAGGGAGGGGGGGGTGGGGGAGGGAGGAGGGATGAAGATGGAGCAGGGCCACGGGTTAACACTGTGTCATGGCCTGGGTGTGCAACCGAGGATGGGTGTGAGTGTTTGTATGGGGAGCGGGGGAAATGGGGGAGATGTGATCCCCGAGGGGGGATGGTAGATGCGTGTGAGTGTGTGAGCAAGGTGGGCTCTGAGGCCACAGTTGGGAGCATGTTAGATGTATGAGATGGTATCAGGTGTTTGCTGCTGTGCACATGTAGCAGTGGTGAACTGTGTGATGAATGACCTCTGAAAGGATAATAAATGTTAGTGTTCTCATCGAGGTCACTCCTCCTTGGCTCTTGTGTGTGCGGCAGTGTAAAATCTGGTTGGCCTGGTGTGCTTGAGCAGCTGTGCGATGAGAACAGGTCTGGGGGTTTGGGAAAATCAAATAAAGAGATATCAGAGTCTACAATGGATGTGGATGAGGAGAGCAGAGAAGGGTCTGGGTCTAAATATGGTTCTGGTTCTGGTGCTGGTGCTGGGCAGGGCGGTAGGCAGGTAGCTGTCTGGAGCTGTACAGCCGGGGCAGCAGAAACACAGGAGGAGGCAGGGGCCAGGTGTGTGGGTGCTGGGCCTCCTCTGTAAGAGCAGGCTGAGATGAGAGCGGATGTGGAGATGGCTTTGGAAGGGTCAATGGCTGCAGTGACGGGGGAGTTAAGGGTGGGGAGGGAGGGGGTGGGGGGCTCCTGAGCTCCTGTCAGAGGCTGGTCCCGGAGGCGCTGGAGTCGGGGAGGTAGGTTGTGACGACCCGGTAACCCTGGGCGCGGCGGATCATGTCGCGGATCTCCCCGTTGAGCTCCAGCAGCTTGGAGCAGATCAGGGTGAGGTCCTGGCGGGAGCCAACCAGGGCAATGGTGCCCGTCTGGCCCAGTGTCTGGTGGCGAAAGTAGACATTGAGCAGCGTTTGGACCTCGCTCTCTGATGTGCCACCGAACACGCCGTTGGGCCACTGCCTCCTGAAAAGGAGAAAAATAATAAATAATAATAAAGTAAGGTGTGATAGGTCAGTTATGATGGATGGATATGGAGACAGCGCTATGTGTGCTTGAGTAAAATACTGAGTAAAATACTGAGTAACTGTGATACTGGGACATAAACATATCCATATTTAAGAATATTAACTATAAGCACAAACAAGTGGATGTTTATGTCATCTAGCGTAGGAGTTTTAAACCGATTTGTCACTCACCTGCACTCCTGGATGTAGCGCACAGCTTTGGTGAACTCGTGGTTCTTAAGGCACTCCAGTATGGCCTGCACAGCTGCCTCCGAGGTGGGGAAGCTGGGCACGACCATGGCTGCCACCTGGGTGGCATGTGCGTGAGTGTGGGCCAAGTGTTTGTGTTCCAGGTCGCTGGCCACAGCCGCCTCTGCTGCCTGCAGGCTGGTCCTCAGATCAGTGAGCTCTCGAGACATGTTCAGAAGCTACGAAGTAGGAGGGAAACAGATGGTGGTTGAGTGTATGTATGTGTGTGTGTGTGTGTGTGTGTGTGTGTGTGTGTGTGTGTGTGAGCTTCTAAGTCATCACAGAAAGAATGTTTATATCATTTCATTCAGTACTTAAGATTCACTTTCGGAGCCAGCAGCGTCGAAAAGGATTTTCTTCATATCTATAGCCTTAAAAACATTTAGTAAAAATTAGATTTATCTAAAAATGTAATATGTTCAATTTTACAAAGACATTTTGAAAGTAAAAACTTCTCACAGTGTAGCCAAGTGGAACTGATGTTGGGGTCAGTTGGTATGGTCGGACCTGCAATAATTAATTTCACTGACAGTGACTGGGCAATAAGGGACACCTGCTGGCGAGCCACTGGTTTTATTTTAGGCTTTGTCTCCTCTGTGAATGGCTGGCATGCAGTCTGTAGCATGTTGAACATGTCGCTAATGACAGTAAATTTAGTTTAGCTGTATGTGGGTCCATGCTGGTGTGGCAGTAGGAGTTACTGGGGCCGTGGATGCCTCTGCTTTGTTGTGTATGATACTTTTGTGGCATCATTGCCAGCTATTAAGGAAATCAAAGAAATAAATTGAAGGAGACCCTAGAGTCTAGAAGGTGTCTTGCTTTGCTTAATGTAGCTGTGGGTGCCACTGGACAGCCTTTACAAGGTATATGCATGTTTACATTTGAGCGGACACATTAAGTATCTTATATTCTGCACAGCTTCTGTTGCATGTCTGTATGTGTTGAAGAGCTCCTTGAGCATTTGTGTATCAGGGTAGTTGAGGAAATCTGACAAGGGATCTGCTGTATGGCTTGTCTGCTTTGATCATATTTTCTTTTTTGATGTTAACTGCTCTCTTTAGTGCCCACCCCATGTTGCTATAGGCTGGCATCCTGTCTAAAATATTAAATGGATTGTTCAGATTTTTTCAAGTGGGATTGTATGAAGTACTTATCCATAGTCACTGTATTATCTACAGTAGATGTCAGTGGGCATGCCCCTAGTTATATACTGCTGTGGACAGGGGCAGCAGCAAAACATATTTTAACCATCTAAAAAAGGCCCACCTAAAAAGTCAATATCAGTTAAAGTGTATGCTATATTTATAATATTTTCACCTCTTTAATTGGCCGTCAGACAGCCCTTTCAAAAGGGGAACCAAAGTCGTTGTATTGCATTCTTCATAGGTAGACTACTTCGACAGAAACAGTAATTTTCCAACACAAAACGCGAGAGCTGCTGGTCTACCGTTGCCTCAATTGGTTAGATTATTTGTGTTATTGTGTGACTTTGCTAAATCTGAACTAACCCTTTAAAACACCAGCGTCACACAATAACACAAACAAACTAACTAATCGAGGCAGCGGTTGAACAGCAATTCCCGTGTTCCAAAAATGACGAGAGGTAAAATGAGTGAGTCTGGCTTTGAGAGGAGCACTGATAACAGCTTCCGTTTGAAGACAGCTTAGATAATGGCTTCAGTTTCCCATTGGAAAGGGCTGTCTGACTGCTGGTAAAGCCTGAAAATATTCTAAATATAGCATACGCTTAAACTGAGAATGGTGGGTAAAATATGTTTCGCTGCTGCCCCAATTCATAGCAGTACACTGCTTAGCTTCCGTGCCAGTACTCCTGTCTGCTTCTCTGAACTCGGGACGTTCTGACCTGCCATCTACTGCAGGTAATACTATGACTATGGTTCAGATCTTCATACAACCCCAGTTAAAATTTAACTGAACTATCTCTTTAAGCAGCTGAACAGTGTAGAGACTGTAAATGATGTCTTTATGAACTATGACTCGACTCACCTCAGGCACAGAGCTGATGGCATGAACTTGACCAATGAGCGAGCAGTAGGACTGGAACAGTAGGAGAAGCTGAAAATGCAGCTTGTAAAGCCTCTGACAAAGCTCCAGTTGCTACAAGACACCAGAGAAGAAACAGAGTCAGATTCCTCAGTAGCAGTGAACACACAGATACAACAACACAGTTATATTCTCAAAAGCACACACCCCATACTGTTCATACACACATGCAGAGGAATACAAACACGCAACAACATGACTAGTTGATTGTCTTGTGCAGAGTAAATCAAGCAGTGTATTTAAGTGGCAGTGAAGTGAAGAAACTTGTAAGAGAACTTACTGCAAGAGACTCCATTTGCTAGACAGCGAGAGAGCATGTTAGGGCGTCAGAGTGAGGCAAGAGGAAGACAGAGCGTCAATCAAACACATGCACAGCACAGTATAAACCATGACTATTCACAGTCAAGCTACCAAGAATTAGTCAACAGTGTATAACACCCAGCAGCTTTACGTTTCACTTAGTGTTTGGTGGTGGCTACAGCGAAAAAGTCAGGAGGAGACACTAGATAACACACAGCACACATGCAAAGAGAGCAGATATTCCAGTGTGACAGAATCACAAAGGAGAAAAGAGAAACAACTACAAAGCACAGATGCAGAAGTTAACCACATGTTGAGCGTTTTTTGTTTATCTGTAAAGTCTAAACTAAAGTTGTGAACAAGTTGCCTGTACCTTCTCCTCTGAGTCTCCAGGCTGGCAGGTAACTACACTGTCACCGGGGCACCTGGGAAATGTGTCCTTACAGTTCCTCAGCCACTGAAGGAAAAACGTAAGGTGACAACAGCGGGGGGAAGAGGGTTGTTAGTTACACATTTACATGAAAAAACCCCCCAAAACAAAACATTTATTATAACATGCTGAGGTGAAGTTACCGATACGGCGGCGTCCTCTCTGGTGTTGTAGGTGTCCAGGTACTCCTGTAGCTCCAGCGCACTGAATTTCATCTTTTCAAGGAGACCATAGGACATGATCTGGATAGACCAACAAGAAGAAAGAAGGAGGTGAAGGATGCGTTCAGTGCATTAGACTTGTTGGTTAATTCAGCACCACTGTTTGCAGTCTGTCATGGGCTGATCCAACCAACATGCTGTGATTAACGATAAGTCAATCATGTCTGGCAGCATTACTCACAGTGTCTGCATCGATGTAGATTGTGGGACAATCAGAGCATGTGGTTAGCATCTGTGAGGACCTGAGGAACTTTGATCCGATGCCCCTTAAGCCCTCGCCGAGGTAAGTGGCGACATCAGTCGTCAGGATGCAGAATTTACCCTGAATGTTCTGGGAAAGAAGGAAAGTTTGAGTAATTGTTGTATTTTTGTACATACGTGCATGTAAATCCCCACAGGATATGATGTTTCCTGATTATATTAATGACTTAGGAATGACTTCAACTAATCCGTCCTGTGATTTACCTTAAAGAGAGACGAGAACACTTGAAAGGTATGGACGGCGCAGGACCCATCTGAGTCGGTCACCAGCTGGTTGATGTGACATCGCCATGCCTCCTCAGCGTCGTCACACACTGCAGGTTGGAAGGCTGCCAAGATGGCGGAGAAAAATGGAGAAGGGGGAGGAGGAAAACCAAGGTCTTCCAAGTCATCTACATCATCACGCAAGCTGTCGCCATGGGAAGGGGAAAGAAATGGGGGTACAAAGAAAAAAAGGTTTTGATACCTTCCCCCCAAAAAGGTTTTACATGAAGATCAAGTGCCCTGCTAGCCTAAGACACAAGTTACAGGGGGCGCCTCAAGGGCCAGGATTAATAGAATTCATCTATTAGGAATCATTTAATATTAGAGAAAGGGTGTGGAAAATCAGGACAAAGAATGCAAAACAAACAAAGACAAACAATGGTCACACACTGAATCTAACAAGCAGAGATGTGACATATAAAGCACGTGGTGGCTGAGAAACACTGCTAATATGCATGCAACCTTAAATTACTCATGTATGTAGAAGTGTTTCTTTTTAGTAGTTCATTAACTTACACAAGGTTTAAAGTCTATTTTCATGAAGCACTGTCATCATTCTAACTGCAGATTTGCATATATGAGAATGCAAATGGTAATTGGGTGTCTTAGGAAACTATTTACAGCACACTTCCTTGTGAATGACAGCTTAATATAAATGCCCTGATTTGTCCCAGTGCTGTGTGCACAAACATTCTGGTTGTGACAGATAAAAATAAGCGCTTAAGACTGCTGCTTAACCGAGGTTTAGTCCCAGTGTCAGTCAATCTGCCAGTTGATAAAAAGTTCCAGCGAAACAATATTCCATATTGTTTCCTGTCTGTCACATTCACCTGGGCAGACAGTTGGGGTCTAGAAAGTCCAGCGGTGGTTGGCAGTAGTCTGCGTTGAGGCTGTGGTCCAGATTGGGTGGGTGATCCAGAGGTTGCCCCGGCAACTCCAGGGTGAAGCTCTCGCCGCAGTCTGAGCCTTGTGGGACCTCGTTGGCGCTCAGCGATAGTTCGTCATCCTGGGCTTGAGTGTCCTCATCCTCCACACACACCCTCCCCTGAGGAGACAAAGATATTACATTTTCCCAAAGATAATAAATGCTTGTGTATTTGGACCAAAACATCACAGTACGGGGTCATGGTTTGGTGCACGCAGAATACATGTAATGCGGAACCAGAGCAAGAATTCCTCCCAGAAATTTGTAGTCGCACGCTGTTAGCAACATGTTCTGAGGTCAGCACAAGTGGACTGGTGTATAAATCAGTCATACTAATGCGAGCACAAATAAAAACGCCAGAACTGGAAGACCCGCCTGCCGGTACCCGGTCGGCTACAACAGCAATGGACAAAGAGTTGCTCCACCGTTGTAGGGTCTATGAATGAGAAGTGGCAACCTCCAGGGCTCAAAATGAGGCCAACATTTAAGTGCCAAAAACTGCAGTTCTTTGTACGGCCACTCGAGGCTGGTTTTAGAAGCAAGTCAATCTCCATAGAACCCCATGTTAAATGCCCAACTTTACAGCAGAAATAAACATGTTTACAGCCTGGTACGAAGAAAAGTTTTGATCTCTATAGCTAATTTCCCTTTTCGTGACAACGGTACGGGCCATTCATTTTTATATAGTTCACCTGTTTACATTTTATTAAGGCTTAAAGTTACGCATTTTTAACAGGCTGTCTGCTGATAGTGTCCTCAGCTTCTCATTCAGATCCACCCCTCACTCCTCCACAGCGCCAGCCTCTCACCTAAATTTGTTCACTTGTGGCTTCAAAAAACAAAGATGGAAACGTCCAAACTCAAGGCTTCAAAACAGGATTTCACAAAGCAGTGGGTAACGTCACAGTAGCTTCGTGCGTTATTTTTACTAACTAGTGTCTACAATGGAAACACATCCAACATGCTCATCCCATTTGACAGCATCACTCAGATGTGCCTGGTCGATAAATGTTTGGGTGCATTGAAGATTTAAATATAGCCAAGGTGGAACTAAGTGAAACACTTCTCCTAATGCACAAGTTTTATATTTCATTATTCTTTTTTTATTTTAATTTTATAGCACAAGAGATGCTTTCCACTTTTATAGCCTGTTGTGAACTACTGCATTTTAGGAAAGTATTTGTTCAGCGTTTGAAAAGTGTAATACAGAAATGTTCCTTATTTCAATAATGAAAGCAGTTGAACAACGTTGCCAGTGGGCAAAATGTTACCTCAGTCCCCAACAAGAGGATTTTGTCTTTGACACTCGCACAACTGTCTGTTCAAAATAAATAAGAAACTGTATCCTTGTGCATTTGTTTTCTTTTTCTCTGCTGTACCCAAACCACGACTTTTCTGCACCATTACTCATACTTAATAACTATACAAAACAGGAGTATATATGGGTGTGAATGTGTTTTATTCCTCACATGTAGGCCACTGTGATCATCATGGAGCACTCCCTGGCTCGGCGTGATGGCATTGAGAGACTGTGGGTCGGCAGACGTGTCATAAGAAGTAGATAGAGAATCAGTGTGATTGGTTTCCTCCGATGGAGAAGGGTTAGTCTGGAACAGGAAGGCAAACCAGGGACATCTATAATTTGGATTGACTTATTCCATCAAATTAGGTCATTGCAATATTAGGAAAAGTTTTTAAGGCTTCAGTGGATGTTAGTGTTGCATTGTTCCAAAAGTTACGCACAAGTTGAGAGTGAGAGAGGCTCTGGCTAGTTGAAGACTCCTCTTCCTCTGAGGACTCGTCTGAGTCGTGGGGGTCCTCGTGACCTAAGCTGGGGGTGCTGCCTGAGTGCTGGCTCTCCTCCAACAGGTCACCCAGCTCGGTGCTGTCCAGAGAGCGTCGACGGACGCCCCAGTTAAAGTTATCGACAGTCTCGCCCTAGATAAAACACACGCACGTACACATTGGAAGACAAAAGCAGAGGCGATGGTAGCAGTGAATTTCACTACTGTGAAAACATTTTGAAGAAAACATGAATAATTGCTTCTAAGAGCGTCTGAGACAAGCACAAGATGCAATATGTTATTCATGGCATGAAAATATGCTGGAAAGGCTGTTTGCATTCAATATGATAATCTTTTACCCCATAAAGACACACAGTATCATTTATCTCCATTATGATAAATAGCAATAAGGTCAGAAATGTAGTCCTGCAACCAAGCTGTGAGAGAAAAATGAAGCACAATCATCCCTTTTTTTTCAGTGAGAGGAAACAAAGGAGCCAGCAACACCACAGCGCTGATGAAAGCTAATGTAAGTGCTCAGTGTGAGAGACCTTACCTGGAGCTCCTAGGCAGCGAGGGGAAGAGAGAGAGACACAGAGTTAGACAGAGAGAGAGACACGGAGGAGGGACACAGAAATACATTTCAAATATATTGCTGCTAAAGACAGACAGGCAGATAAAATGAAACACGCATTAAAGGGAAAAGGGAAGGCAAGGGACAGATACTCTACAGTTAAAATCAAGCCACATAATAACTTTAAATGGCCATGGGTAACACACAGTGAAATATAAACTCTCACCTCTCCGTCCTCCAGCTCCACATCCAGGAAGTCAAAGTCTCGGAAAACTCTGAACTGCTGCTCGCTGGCTGTGTCGTCAAGCGTGTCCTCTCTGGTTCCACCCTCCTCTGATGACACCCCACTTTCCCGCACCTCCATCATGTCCAGGTCACCACATGATGAGAAGATCACCTGATGAGAAGGAACGAGAAAAGTACAGTATTTACACTTGTCACATGACGCTGGTGAAGTTTACATAAAAATGACAACTTCCTCATGAATGATAGAGACATTAATCTCCTTGAATAACTAGGAAAATTGGCAGACCTTGCTAAGGTTAATACTTAAGAGAGAAGGGATTTTTGTAGACTGTGAACAAGCAGACAGTACAGGTAGAGTATTATAAAAATGAGATGGGAGGTAGCTTACAGATGGGTTCTTGGTGAGTCCAACTTCTTGTCCGCAAAGAGACAACACATTTACTAGCTTCTCTCTGGTTCTTTTCTGCAAGTAGAAGAGAGACAGGAATAAATAATAGAGTATTAATCAAAGAGGGAACAGACATAAACTCTCCTCTTCCTTGATCTGTTCATTTGTAACGGCTTCAGATGTTAAAATAACCAATAAATCAGTTGAGCCCAGTGCAGATCTACATATATACAAAGTCCAGCATGGCTTTTGCTTGTGCTAAAAAACAAACGGCTACAGAGGAATGTGACTTTGAGGTCAAAACAAAGAAGGATGGGTGTGAATCAGCGTGTCATTGACTTACAGTTAGAGCTATATAAAGATATAAACTGTACATAAACTGTGAGAGATCTTAAAAACATTTAATTAAAGGGTCTAACTCTACCTGTGAGGATTGTGGTCGCCTCCAGCTGACGGGCACCAGGATGGTGTTGGAGTTGGATCCAGACGAGGTGGAGGAAGTACTGCGGGTTACAGCCATGGCTCTGGCCTTCCCCTCTCTGCCCCCTGAACCCTGAAGCTCGTCTAACCGACGCCCAATCACTGGCGTCTGTAAAGAAAACAGTTTGAATCTTACATACATTTCTGACATGTCTTTTTCTGTACTATAAGTGTAAGTGGGACAGAATGTGTTGCTTCCTCACCTCGGAGATGTCAAAGGTGAAGTCCAGTGTTTTTCCAGGCAGAGCTTTGGATGAACCGTCCCACACCCTGCTGACCTCCAGGTTGGAAAGGTCACCTTGCGAGTGGCCATACACCGGATGAACTAGGCTGGCGGAGCGCGATACCACCAGCTTCAAGATGTTTAAGGCGTCCTTCCAGTGTATCGTCTGTGGAATAACAAACACAGTATGAAAGAGACAGCAGTGCGTATTTTGTATCACACAGTAACTCACACAGAAGAAGTGGGATATGCTTCAGCTTATGCACTTTAGGAAAGTTACCTGGACAAACTTCTCAATGGTCTTTGTGACATCAGCGTTAAACTGTTTGACTTGTACAGCAGTCAGGTCCATGTGGCTGAGCAGACAGTAGATGATCTGGAGCAGAGACTGCTGCATACTGGGAAGGCCCTTATCCAGCAGCTGAGAGGTGGAGAGAGACATTCAGTGACTGACAGAGCATGCAACCGCTAAAACATTCAACATATGCAATCCATATTAATCAGCACTTACCTCTGCCATATAGGTCACCATGTTGAGTGTGATGTCAGAGAAAGCTTCATGGAGGTAGCGGCAAACCACACTGACCCAGGAGAAAGGGTCTCGTGTGTAGGAGCGTGTCTTATAGAGAGTCATCACATGGGCCAGATGGGACAGTTTTGTGTTCTTCTCCACCAAACACACCTGAGAGAGAGAAAGAGAGAGCTTGTTTTTCTTTTTCTGTGAATGTTTATTCCTCATGTCATTTTATTTTTGCTTTAACACCCTATAAAGCCTAACCTAAAGTGATCTGAAGTAAATCAAAGGAAACTGAAGTGAACTAGACAAGGCTCAAGTGAAGAATTGGACCGTACCTGTGCGATCCTCTCAGCGCTCTCCTTACAAAACTGAGTTGGATGGCCAAAGTGCTGCACCAGGTGAGGCAGCAGACAGAGCACATTCAGAGGGAAACCTGCACAGAGAGAAGAGGTTGAAAGAAAACTACAGACTTGTTTGTTTCGACCTAATAAAATAACACAGGATGAAAGTTACCACGATCCCCAGTTCCTACCTATAGACTGTGAGCTGTCAACGACAGGCACGCGAGATACTGGTGTAAGCTGGCAGAAGAGCTGTAAGGTCAGGTCAGATGTGGCCTGGGAGGTAAAACCCTTCAACAAAAGCTGCTGAATCCCAGAGAACCCGCTCCACCTCAGCTGAGCCTGCAGCTTCTCGAGGCGTTCGCGGTTCTCTGCTCTGTCTAACGGCACCTGGGAAATAAGAGTTTGATTTAACTAAAACAGTAAATTGACTGTTTTATTTAGTTTCGTCCTGAAATGCATTCTGACAACCTGAGGCATTTGTATTTTTTTATAGCCAGTTAATCATATGTCTGCACGTTGCTGATAGCTAAGAATCCCTTCATTTTTCATAGGACAGGAGGCTTTTATTCAAAAATATAATAAGCAATACATTTTTTTGCCCTACTAGCAAGAGTGTGAGGCTCTTAGGATGGTTCAGTTGATAGAAAGGAGCAGAACAGCCTTGAGACACTGCTTGAACTCATCTGCTTCTCATCTTATCTTTGTCCTAACTTTTTCGACAATTGCGTAACTACGCTGCTGAGATCAGCAAGTTTCATCTTATCTACCTTTGACAGCAACTTGTGAACGAGGCGAAGTGACATCTGATATTCAAACTCAAAGTCTGACTCCATGAGCGACACGGCCACCCAGAAGACTGTGGCCAGTATTGTTGATGGATGGGAAACATGGGCAGGATCCGATAGAACACTGGGATCAATACGATTGGTTGATGACGTGCAGGACCCAGAATTTCTCCCTGATCGGGCGAGGCCGTGACTGTTGCAGGCCTGTCGATTGAAAAATGTAACACAACAATGAATTAGTGAGATGCACGAGAAGTTTCCCCCTGCATTAAAGTGCCACACTGAACAAGAATCCTCCTCTCTTGCCTGTATGCGATCCAGAGTTGCACTGCGAGGAGGATCATTTGCATGGTGGCCGCACTCGCCAAACTTCTTAGGGACTGAGTAGGAGCGTTGGTGGCGCTGTGAGGACAGACCAGCAAATCCTGGGCCAGGGAAGTTCAGCTGACCTGTGCTCTTTCTGTTCATCAGTTTGTCACTAGTCACAAAGTCTGGTGAGGACGTTCTGTGAATCAAAATTAATACACTTACAAATGGTGTCCTTGTATTAAATTACAAGGAGTTTTAGCAATACAAAGGCTAGCTTAATTTTGATGTTCTACCTGGTTAGAGCTGCCATAAGGTCGCTGTTTTTCAGGCACTCTGCTAGATTCACCACCACTGACTCCAGCGTCAACAGCACCTCCATCACGTAACCCTGAAACACAACATGCATTCCCATTAGCAGAGTATAGAGGTTGTTAAGTGCTGTAATAATTATTTAATATACTGCCGCTAACCCGACAATTTCTCTCACCTGCACCTCGTCTCCGTGTTCTCCCACCACCTCAACAAGGCGGGAGACCAGGTCAGAGACAGCGTGGTTGTTGATCGGCTGTTTGAGCGCTCTAAAGATCTGGAAAGAGCGCCCGGCGTAGTGTCGTGAGGAGCTGCACAGAGCCGTCTGTAAGGCCACGTCGCTCAGCTGTTGCTCCAGGTGGAAGTCTGTATAAACAGATGGGAACAAAGACACATAAAGATATACACAAACACACATGCAAGTTTGTTCAGAGAAAAGGGTTTTTACTTTTCACAAAATAATATAATTGTTGAGACTTTATTGAGCATGCTGTGCCAATGTTGTGGACAGATTTTCAGAAATGCTACACATGAATTATGATCGTAAAAAGGTCAGTCAAAGTCAATTGGCCTTGAGCAGTTCCTAACCTGACTTTGACTCCTTGAAGACAGAGACAACGTGGCGTAGGAAGTTTGTCAGCTGCTCCGTGCTCTTGGAGTTGGGGTTCTTTGGTGTGATGTCCTCGTGCACCCACAGCGGTCCAAACGCTCTGAGCAACGACAACACAGTACTCCAGGCACTGTATACCCACCACCAGTAGCACCATATATATGTTACACAAGCACTTAAAACATGTGCGCAGTCACACAGTGCGCACTACAGTGAGATTTTCACACACACATGCATGCACTTCACAAGCACACCTGCTCGAATATTTGTACCCCAAACTTCTAGGACTGCATGAAACGTTTCTAGGGGTGTGCGTACCTGGTGGAGAGGAACTCGATGAGTTTGTTTGTCTTCTCGTCGGTTTCATTGGGCGTATCCTCAAGGTCCTCCAGGTCATCAGGTGTCACGAGGGGCAAATTTCCAACACTGCCTGCAGTGCTGCCACCACCCAGACTGGCAGAGGAGGAGTTGGATGTGGAGCTGAGGCCAGAATCAGCCACTGGAGATGCCTGCCACTCTCGCAGGAAGTCAGGTGCATCTAAGGGAATATGATAAACAGAATTAAATGTACTATTAATATATTGCCAAGCAGGGTTATCATATTGTTTTGTACTGTGATGTTTCAGTACATGTTTTTAAGGGTTCACTAGTGAAAACTGAATTGAATAATCATTATTGTACAATGGTATATGTCACATGATTAAGACGTTATGCTTACGTGACTGCTGGTACTCTGTGTGATAGCTGGACTTAATGGTGAGGGTCTTGTTGTCACTGATCTCTCTCGTCAGCATCAGAACTGAGGCTATTACCTGAAGACACAGAAAGGAGGATTCGTCAGTGGCTACTGAAATTAATTTTTGGCTGAATAACTTTCCATCGCCACTGTATGCAATGTTAATTCAGACTAAATTGGCACACTAATAACAAGTATTAGGATCCCACACTGACCTGGAAGTTGTTGTTGCAGGAGAGGGCAATGAGGAGGTGGAGAAGGAGACGTTTGCTGTGTTCATAGACCTCTGGTCTGTAGTGGTCCAGACCTGGCCAACAAAATACACAGTCAATATGATTAGACAGGATTAAGATCACTAAACTGAACACAGGTACACATACATACAAAGAACAAGAGCATGCATTGATCTTTATCTGCACATCCATGTGCTGCAAATAAACATTTAACTATTACGAATTAATTACTTATTAGAGCAAAATATATCAAAAGAACTGAAATACTGACAGATCATGTTGCTGTGTCAAGAAATGTTGGTGTAATGTAATGTAAATAAAACATTTCTCCCAATACACTGCCAGTAAAAATACATGTATATGAAACAATACAACATGGATTCTTAGATTGGAGATAAACTTGCTTTTAACTACATTTGTGTGAGCATGATGGCTGCCTCACATATCCTATGTCCATTTGGAGGTTGGTTGTGCACATCCTCAGAAATGAATTCTACATGTATGCAAGATGTAGTCTGTACATAAATGGCCATGGTCACGACATGCTTTATTTAGAGGCCTACATAGCATCTATGATGATGCCTCTGTCACTTTTTCTGCTGTGATCTAAGGATTAACATTATAGTTATCTCACCCAGTGTCGCCATGTTCATTGTTTACATCATACAAATCTGTTCTGTGCAGTCTACGTACATGGGCAAGTATGTGAACATTACATTCAAGTCGCAGCAAGTTGTCTACATGAACGCATGGCTAAAAAGCAAGTAATTCTCAGGCCTTGGACAACTTCATGCACACAATAGCACAGATTGGATGATAATGGACAACTTGAAGGGTTAGTATGCTGAATATGCAGAGCACAGAATAACATATTTGTGCACAGCTGACAGGGCAGATATGTGTCTAGATGTTAGATAATACAGTCTTGGTGAGAAAAGCAGGCCCTGGGGAATGTGTCTGTGCCTTTAGTGACTCAAGAGAACGGTCTGACCTGAAATGCACGTCTGTGGGAGATGGAGATAAAACCTCACGCTGTCACGTTGTGAGCTTATCAGGCGTCACAGAAAATACCTACATACCTCACGACTTATTTTTGTGTCTCTGTGTTAACACCCTTCTTGGCAGGGCGGTGCATGAGGATTTTTTTGATCTTATCTTTTTAGATAAGTTCCATTAATTCAACCTCATGTTCATGTTGGGAAATAAGAGTAAGACCGGAACATAAAACACTCTAAAACACATCTTGTCAAAAAATTACATGAAGGATTGTGTATTTTACGCATGATATTTACTGTTTCTTTTGTTTAAATAACACTTAAGGTTAGACTTGTCCCAAGAAGACGATAGACCATATCTGAGTTATGTGTGTGTCTGTGTTGTGTACACCTACCCAAGAAGAGGGCATGCAGTAGCAGGGGCAGGTGCAAAGCCCAGTCTTCTCTCACGCTGTGGTCCACCACCATTTCAGTCATGAAGATCACTGCAATGTTACACCTGAAAATCAACACACACACAAATCTAGTTAGTGCGCAAAATAAGAACAATACTCTTTTCTTCTATGGACTTTGGGGCGGCATACTGAGGAATGTGACCACCCTTCCGTGTTTCGGTTCAAGCCCACGTGACGTGAAGTAGTCCATATGGAGCAATTACTCCAAAGATTTAGCTCTGACAACATCTCTGTTCTGTCATTCAGAATGAAGGGACAATAAGGATTATGACTTTCAATCAAGTCAGGGCTGCTACTAATCTCCAAACTCAACGGCTATCGGTCTGATGATGATTTAGCCTCTGCACCAATATGTCAGGAGCTCCGGTGTAGCCAGCAGATAACCAGAGAATGGATATCTGGGCCAAGGTTTTCTGCTCTGTCTGCAGATCACTGTTCACAGTCCGATTAGCAGCTTGAGGTGTAGATGTTTTAGGTCCAGACGACATTACGGCTAATCTTTATAAACAATTATCTACATAAAATGACAGATATCAAATCAATCTGTCAAAAAGTTAAATTGTTGTCAGATGAAAACTAATGGGTTCTGAGATTTCGGCTAATGTGTTCCACCTCTTTCGCTTTCCATACAGACTGTTCACCTGCATGCAGCCAAAGCCCACTCAAATGTGACTGGGACTACAAATGAAAAACAAAACTTCCATTATCAAAATCTTTTCCTCTTGCCGACAGATTCTGCAAACATATGAAGATATATGTTGTTTTATCATTGTTTTGGTCCATAAAATCTTAAAAAATGTTTGTCTGGGACAAACTTCAGGTTATTCTTTTTAGCAATATTCTAAAACCAAAGCTCAAGACAACTCAATTCAAGAGAAAACCTGTATTTTTATTAGGTTTATCACTTAAACTTACTTTGGTCGTAAAGAGGATGTGTATTACTAAGTTAAGGCAAGTATCTCCATTGCATTTTTCATGGCAGATGTATCTGTAACTCAGTGCATATCATCATTTAAATCTTATTCTAGAAACCCGTTTTGTGTATACATACTGCTGGTACTGTGAGTCTTCTGTTAGTACTGAATGATAATTAAGACAACAAAGTACAGATACAGAAACTGTATTTACCTGCATAAAAAGACCCATTATTGTGATAAAAGCAGTCCACTCTCCTTTAATGAATTGTAAATACATGCAGCATAAATAACCTGAATCTCATTTTCATCTCATCTTCATAATGACTTTTAAGGTGTTGAGAGAGACGGAGAAGATGAATAAGCAAATCCCTTCTCATATTAATTCTCCACATAGCAGAGGCGGAGAAAGTTGGCTGGGTTTCACTCTGTGCTGGAGTTTATCAGGCCATCTGTGAGGAGGTGTAACCAGTCTGTGCGAGAAAATACTGCTGACTCTGCTGATGCGCCACTGATTGTAACATCACTGTTCCACCCCTGTGTGTGAATACTGTATCTGTTTAAGAGTGGGTTGTCTGTACAGTGTGTGTATGCCCATGTTTGTTAGTGCGTACCTATGCAGTGGTCCTCTGGGTGTGATGGTTTCTGGGAGGTAGTCAACCAGAGGAGCCCAGCAGCCTCCGTTAACAGGCATGGGTAACGGCTGAGGGTGGTTGGTCTCCAGAACACCCAGTAGCCAGCCGGCATATGGCGGGAGAGGGTCAGCTACAAACACAATCCCCAAGTGTAGTTAATAAAAACATACTTGTAACATATATCTCATACACAAAAGGCGCCAAACTTTAATGATATCTACACACAATACGTTGTCCGCACACCCTCAAGCACAGAAAGGTTCATCTCACGATAATATCAAAGCAGAGACAAACAACTAACATGAAAGGTCACAGACAAACAAAGCAGCTCAGTCAAAATGTGTGGAATTCCAAACACAAGCTCAGTCACAGTCAAGGTATTTCAACAACAAAGTGGTTCCTCAGCACGTTTGCAGTTGCTGTACTGTAACTTCCCATTATACTAATACAATAGTGTATTTTATCATCTTAGGACAAGTCTAAACATACTCCATTTTGAAAAGTAAGTGTGGTTGAATGACAGTCTTTTTTGTATGTACCTGTATTATGATGGTTAATATTTAGCTTCAAGAAGAAGTTCGTCTGTATGATAAATATGAAACTACATCTGGCTAACCCATCTCACCGCACAATTTAACTTGATATATCTCGTTTGTTGAACCAAATGAACCACAGTGTAAAGATGAAAATTTGGCACTTTGCTCGGAAACCATCTGAGACTCCAGGAAGTAGCTGGTCCCAGCTGGTCCTAGCCTGACACATCACCTAACCAACATAATCTCATTTTTGACAAGAAGGTGAATATTTATAGGAAAGCTGAACTTTTTTTTTACATACCAAAGAAGATATTCTCTTTTTAACAACGTCTCTTATTGACATGTTTTAGTGTAAAGTCAAACACTGGCTTGGTAAAAATGTCCCCTGCTCAGACATCAAAGGTCCAGCTGTTCCACTTGTACTTGGCTGGTTACAGCTCTGCTTAGTCACATGAAGACTTCAGCAGCAGACTCACGCCTGGAAGCCTCCCAACATAGACGCTTGCTAAACATAGACTGGGTACCATCGGTGTGATTACGTCTGTGTATCTTTGTCAAAGGGGACAGTGGTGGGCTATGGCTTGTGACAAAATAACATGTTTGATATACAACTGCAACATAAATGACAGGCTTTAATTAATTATTAAAGGCAGTGAATGACACACACGTTTCAGCGTAGTCACACTAGAAAAGCTCTTGTTTCGGGTATGGCTGTATGGAAGGATTAGTGACAATTAGCATGAAAGTCTTAGGTGTGAATTATGTAACGGCAGGTGACGGAAGAATCCTTGTCCCGGAGCACTTCCAAGTAACAGACAGCTTTGAGTCCCCATGGGCTGTGTTTATGAGTACACAGTGTACAAGTAAAGCAAGTCTGTATATTCATTTTCATGACAAGAAAAACAACTCACTCTTTTCATCCTCATAAGAGCCTCCGGAGCTATTGCTGTAGCGAGACTCCAGTCTGTTGTGAGCCCTGGCCATGCTGAGATGAACACATGACATTATAAGTTAAATTCAGATTTTGTGTACAGTCTTATTTTGTGACTAAAAAGTTTGAAAGTCTTTTGCTAATATTGCGTATTAATACTGACCGCTCTTCACTCTCTCTGACCAGCTTGTTCTCATCTGTGTCCACCAGGTTCTCCTGACCAGCCACCACAGTGTTACTGCTGGAGGTGGTGCCTGCGCATAATACAGAGACAATCTATTAAAATACAGTCTAGTCAACCAACTGTCATATTAAAAGTCGTCAAGGTCAAAGTCAATGTTGAGATGAAACCACAAGGAAGGTCTCCTCTCACCCGTCTGTGACGTGGAGGCTTTGTTGCTGGCAGCAAAGCGGTAGAAGGGAGGGTTGTCACAGTGCAGGACCACAGGGTTGACCGGGTCAGTCTGCTGCAGCTCAAACAGGAGCTCCTCCATCGTCTGGATGGTGTTGTTGCGACACAGGTAGATCACCACCTTCTTGATCTGAAACAGATACGAGTATACAGTGTGAATTGGTTTACCTCACGTAACCCTGCCATCAGAAGCGAAAACATGCACTGAAGTTAAAGCTTTCCATACCACCACTAAACCATGGCGTAAACAAAGTCGAATCTGTGAACACTGAGGTTATCTTGTCCTTTTGTTGTTCCTTGTTGTTTATAGTCATTGTTGCTTTGGTAACTGTTAGTAGCAGCTGTTTATCGGTGTTTGTTTTATTGTAGTCTCTGTGTTTGTGTAAGAGGGTTGTATGATGTGTTTTATTCTTCAAAAGCCTAGTCAGGGATGAAGTCTGCAAATTAGCTACAGCTACAAGACCTTTATACATTGTATTGACTGCATTTCATTTAAAGTAACTGCCTACATATATCGTCCTAGTCAAACAAACAAACAAATAAATAAATAAAAATATTAGCATATTTGTTTCGATATTCATTATATAATCATAAAATGTAACACACAACCCAGTAGCTTTGTGACAGCCATTTACATTTCACTACATTTTACATTATTTTACCGATAAATCTCTGAAAATGGGAAGTTTTAAGATATAATATGTAATTTTTTTGTGCATTAAAATGTCTATTAACAATTAGACCAATGTTACACTGTTATATTTTAATGAGGTGTTTCCTTACATTATTAAAAATGTTGTCAACAATGTTCAAACCTCTGAGAAATAGGTTATTTTAATCAAGGACATGGACTATGTCGTTTGGTCGCCATCACCTGTCAGGAGCATTATATCCCCGATGCGAATGTGTCAGGGTTGTGGTTGTCTGCCGGAAGCTTGATCATAAATTTACTGAGAGACTTTTAAAACTTTTTATGCAGTTTTGGGACACATCTTTTCAAAACATGTATTAGACATTGGTCTTTTTTAACTTTATGTTTTAACTGGATGAAGGATTTTGGTCATCAGACGTCTGGATCTTAAGTTATCAGAGAAACAAGTTGAGCTTCCCACCGTGCCAAACAGCATCGGAGAAACACTAATTTGTAACATGAAACTTCTTTATGCAGTGTTTTTACCGATTTTAATGACCTAGTCCATTTGTTTGCAAGAGTAAAAGACCTTTGCAGATAACTGGGCTCCCAGTAAAAACCTCTGTTGGGCTACAGGAATCATAACCAGGAGAAACTGAGTGCAAAGACGGCATTGCTCAGTTTTTTGTTAATGTTTTGATTGAGATAAATATTGTACATATTATATGCTTATCAGGGGCCACTCTGATTCACTGGGGCTTTCCATTTTCAAGAATCTAACTTCAGCACAGCGTCAGTATGTGCAGACAACACTTACATAAGGCAACAGTGTGGTATCGCTGCTGACTCCACACAGGCTGATAAGGAACTGCAGGGTGATCCGTAAGTTGTTGCTCCACCTCTCGTTGGACACCAGAGCGTTCCAGGCATTCTCAATCTCTGGGCCAGGAACCTCGTCTCCATACTGATTATGTAAGGAAACAAAATGCCGTTGACATGCAGGAGAAAAAAAGGAAGTGTAATTTCACCGACAAGCACAAACATGGCTTCCTACCTTAGCAGTCATAAACATGAGGTTATTTAGCACCAATGAGGTCGCCTGGAGGGAGCCCCAGCCGTTGCCTCTCAGACTGGGGGACAGACCCATGGGCTGCCCCTGACCGTGAGGTTCTTCCTCTGGTGTGCAGGGGCTTGAGGCGGGGGGTAGGAGCCCCGTGTCCACGAGCTCAATGTTACTGAGCCAGGGTAGCAGGTAGGATAGCATGATCTGTCTGCCGTTTGGGTGGGTAGTTGGGAAACGCTGGCTCACCTCTGCACAGGCAAAAAACAAGGAGGAATTAAAGTCAGAAGTGCCTCAAGGAAGCTGAACATTCCCTAAATGTGTTCACTAACAGGAGAAAAACATTTTTTACAACTGTCTCAGCGAGAATACCAGCCTCTTGGGAGTTTTGAATGTGAGGGTTCAAACAGATTGTGCTGTTTTCATCCTGCCTGCTTCAGTATTTAATGGGTACTCTAAGCATTCAGCACATCACATTGTAAAGTCACAGTAAAACAGCATTTCAAAAGCACCCCTGTTTACTTGATCTATATAGTGTACTATATAGAAACAGGGAGGGGAGGAGAGTCTTTGGGTTTTGTTTACAACTGTTCTCCACAAAAGAAACGTTATAGGATTCTAGTCTTGGTCTTGTTTAGTCTCTGTAAGGAAGTATTCCAGCATCTTGTACCTGTGTACACACTCATCCTGAAAAATGTACCTGAGAAAAGAGGCAGCGTGAGCTCTGGGTACATGCTGGCCAGCTGGATGGAGAGCTGAGACAGGTTGACGCTGTAAAGAGGAGGCAGGGGGCCGTGTGTTCCATACAAAATATTACCAGGCTTCTGCTCCACCATCCGCTTCGAGTACGCACACAGCTTAGACTCCAGCACCTGCAGACAAATTATTATCACATCTTTTATAGTCAAAATGCAGCTTGATGTTTGGGCTTTATGTTTGTGTTCTCTTTTCACACCTCTTTGTGTGCACTTCATACATATTTAACATTGGGACTGTGTTTGTCTCCTCTGTGTGCTGTATGTGTGTATGCACCTGCATCAGCTGCATGGAGATCTCATATATTTCCCTGCTGGTGTCTGAGGCCTTGAACAACACCAGATTGAGCAAGGTCACAAGGTCACATGGGTAATTCCTGGTGAAGTAAAGAGGAATGGTAAATCATTATTTCAATTTTAATTATAAAATACAAAGTATGGATGTGGATGGAAGCTTTTTACATTATTACACTGGATGCTTTTGCAGGGCCTGTTAACAAAACACTAGTAAATGGCCTTTGTTTATCTTTATATTCTTTTGTTAATATGTTATCTTAAAGGGGCAAAAAGCGAAATCGTTTCACCGCTAGGTTCGCTGTTTTGCACTGCCTGTAGACCAAAACAAAGTGTGTCATAAGCCACACCTTCCTCTACCTCTGCTCTCCATACTACCTGTGCTCTAACGCTCCGCTAGCCACTCCCAGCTAGCTCCTGTTTGTTATTCAGGTTAAAGTGGGAAGAAGCAGCGGGTCCGTCGGGCAGCTGAGTGAAGTGGAGCCTGAGGAGGAAGCACCGGTTAGCCCCGGTTTCACTACAGGCAGTTTCACTCGCTACAGGGGTGAGGAAATAAAACCTTAACAGCCAACTTATTTTAGCAGTTAGCTATGTCTTTCACTCACTCTCGGTCTCTGCTGTGTTTAGCTATTCCCCTGCCTACTTCAATGATGATGGTACCTGTAATAAATGTAATATATTTGCTGAGATGGAGGCGAGGCTCAGTGACTAGAAGAGCTGGTAGAAGCGCTCCATAGTTAGCGTTAGCTCCCGGGAGCGTTAGCAGTTAGCACTAGTCGGCTGCCACCGGCTACTGGAGTAACCTACAACTATGGAGCGCTTCTACCAGCTCTTCTAGTCACTGAGTCTCGCCTCCATCTCAGCAAGTATATTTCATTTATTACAGGTACCATCATGCCATCTGCCATTGCTCACTGGCTGTAGCCTTTTATAGGGAGGGAGGGCCAAGGGCTCCGAGAGGAGGGAGGAGGCAGCGATTCACATGAACATACATGAACGCGTAGCCGGACCGGCTTGTAAACAAGGGGCTGGAGATCAACACAGAGAGAGGGTGTGTGAGGTCATGCTATACTCCAGATGAAATTACACCCCTAGTTCTTCACATAACAATTTTTTAATTCCTTCAATCTAGAAATGATGAATTTCGCTTATTGCCCCTTTAAATAATGCATGCTGCATAAAAGTCACTAAATCATTTTAATCAAAACAATGTGACAATTTATTGATCTTCATAGGAAAATTTTACTTTTCCCCAAACTCTCAGGCAAGGAGGTCAGATGACTTAGACTGGTTTCCCTGGAGCTGATAGACCTTCAGTGTCTTGATAGAGAAATGCAAGATCCCCTACCTGTTGCCACAGACCGTGGCGATGGCCTTGAAGCAGCCAGATGCCAGCTGGTAAGATCCAGTGAAGCAGCGGTCCACGGCCCAGTTGAATAGATTGATTTGGTCTGGGTTCAGCTCTAAGAGCAGGATGACCACCTCACACCCCAGACGATGCACCTAAGGCAAACATGTTATTATGTAGAGGGACTACTTCACAGATAGGAAACAGCACAAAAGGAGCAACAGAATTAAGGAAAGCTTAAACTTGAATCGTAACATGTTGAGACAAGCTGAAGAGCTGAAACGTCATGTATAATCATGTTAGAATTATCCAAACCCCTTTAAGTATACCAACAAAAAAAAACATCACCACACTGAGAGATCCTGTATAACAAATTAATGGCAACAGCTGACCTACCCGTATATCGTGGCACGCCAAGATGTTGTCAAGCCATTTGTAGAGATAGCCATCAGTGGAGAGACCCACATTATCAAACACTGGCCCACAACACAGAACTGCTGACATGGCCTAGGTGACAAAAGTTGAGTTGAATTAATGCAGAGTAACGCCTGCTGTGAAGTAGAGTTTGGGACGTATGGGTGTTGCTTACCTTGAGAGCACAGTACTGGTAGCGAGTGATCTGGTGGTTGCGGTCACTGTATCGATCAAGGGGTGTGAACATGACACTGAAGGGTCCAGCCCACTGGCTGAAGAGGATGAAGAGATGGTGCCTCAGAGACTGTTGAGGGAAGAGGAAGCGCCGGTGGTGGACTGCACAGATGTGAAAGTGAGGGTGAAGAAAGAGAGATACAGAGGGTCAAAATCAGAGACAGACTCAGAGGGTAATTTTGACATTTTTCAACCTGGACCTTGAGTGACTAATAGGAAAAACAGTTTTTGAAATTGGTTCAGTATTGAGCTAGATCACTATGGTTGCAATGTAACCACTTGGGAATGTTTGCACCGTCATTGTACAGCCATTAAAAGTGCTTGTTTTTGTCTGACAACATGGTAAGGATCCCTACAGAGACAGACCTTTTGGTTAAATAGTAAGACCCTTTTTGTTTAACCAGAAACAGCTCCAGAATCACTGTCGCCAAAGCCACCAGACTCCATTTAAATAAGCAGTAATTTTATTATTGTAAAACACACTTCATTCAAAGTTGCAAGAAACAAAATAAAACTTGCAAAAGAAACTTTTGGTTCCTCCTTTCACTGTTCAAACAATCACAACTCTGACCTGGCTAAAATAAACCCTTAAATAACCCAGTAAGATGTAAATATATGCTGGCTGTATACACTCTAAAATTACTGTTTTTTTAAATGGAGTCTGGTGGGTTTGGCAATAGCGATTTCAATGCTGTTTCTGGTTAAACAAAAAGGATCTTACTCTTTAACAAAAAGGTCTGTCTCTGTCTATAATGTTGTCAGACACTTGTAATAATAATCTGACCCTGTCATTGGCAGGAACATGCACTTTTAATGGCCGTACAATGATGGGCAAACATGCGTCAAGTGGTTAAACTGCAACCTGTTTGGCTGCTGCTGGCTGCAGTGATCTTAATCCTGGACTGGTTTCAAAAATTGTTGATCCTTTTGGTCACTTAGACACAAACACATGTGGAAATGGGGGCCAGGTTGAAAAACTACAGACCTTACCTTTTAAATTTACAGTTTTAATCCATGAGCATTTTTATTGACTGGCATGAAAATTCAGTCAGTGGCTGCAGAATAATGTTAAAGCCACGACTACTACATCTGCTACTACTGAATTATTATGATATATAATATCATATGAAGGTAATAAAATGATTTACCAGGAACACACTGAATGAGATTCGCCACCATCCCACTGAAATGGGCTCTGATGTCTTTCAGCACATCGAGCTCCTTCTCATTCTCAGCTTCCAGAAGCATCCGGGTTAAATCCACATACTCGAGGAACAGGGCACCCAGTGCCAGGGAATCACGCTCCAGCGCTCCATTGGTGCTGTAGAGGTAGAGAGGGAAATCTATATTTTACATGTGCATCAACAGGATAGAAATCAGAGAAGGAAGCAAGTGATAGAAGGATGCTTATGGATATTGATGAGGAGAAAGCATGAATGAGTTGCCTGAGTGCATAAGAAAAACAACTAGAGGGCCCTCAGTAGATTTAATGTGCTACCTGTCACTGATGACTCCTGCATTAGCCAGCAGTTCGAAGATCCTCAGTAGCTGCAGCCTGAGAAGATCCCTCCTCTCTCTGCGCTTCTTGTTCTGAACGCACAGACAGGTTTTCAATATACTGCTAAATATATGTTAATATATGTATGTTGTTTTGTTTATAATGAGATAATTGGTTCCTGAAAGGAAAAGTGACTTTACATTAGTAGTCCATTTTCATAAATAATATATAATTGATCTATTGAAAGCATCTCTAATAGCTATGATCAGACACTATATACCACATGGAAGATGTATTTTTTTTACAGTTTTATTAATTGCTGCATATAAAAGAAGCTTAAATTTGGACTATACTTCATGGTCAGGAGTATATTTCAGAAGCTTCTGTCTGAAATCAATAACCTTAATATGATCCTGTTTCAGTGCTCTCAGTTTGTTTCTCTCTCCCTGTGTTTGTGTGTGTGTGTTACCTCAGGCCTTCGTTCCAGTGCCTCCTTCATCAGTGGATGGAGTTCTTCGACCAGCTCCCTATAAACAGGGTCAGAGAGGGCAAAAATCAATCGATTGCTTCACTGCTAAATGAGACTGATAAAATGTAACTTCACTGTAGATGGTGGACGCCCTGATCTGAGTGGACAGAATGGTTTGTAACAGATATCCATCTTGTGCAACACCAAATGTCACATGCCCTAAAACCACTAATCCTCAAACACAGTCATGTTAGACAAATATGTCTGCAGAGACCTTAATCTCCTTTAAAAACAATGAGCGCCATTTCGGAAAAACATTTCAGGTTAAAAATAGACAGTCTTGTTTTAAAATGAAACACCTCCCTTTCACAATGGAACCTCTGTCTTTGAAAAAAATGTGATGCATCTCTGTCCCCTTGAAAAAAAAATTCTTCGCTACATCAGTGACGCAGTTTTTCTTTTCTTCTCTGAATGTCAGAGAGGCATGCAGCTCATCTCAGTTATGAAGAGAATGTCAGGACAGATGGGATTCAGTAATAGAAGAAGGCAGCGTGAAAAGACTTTCTTATGTAAGAGATACGGACCAAATCTAGCACACATCATCCATTTTCTATTGTGATTTAAATCTATCCAGTGTCCTCCCTCCTTTCAGCCTTTGTGTGTTTGTTATCAGCAAAAGCTCAAACCCAAGAACAACAGACCTGAGTCACATAACAATAACAAACAACATCATCTGAGCATTCAATCAGAAATTAGCTTTTTCTAGAATACAGTGGAGAAATTATTTGACATTGTGACCTAAGATTCATGTAAATGACGTGAGCTGTGTTTGTATGATCGGTGTACGTCTCTGCATGTTCCTGTTCCAGCACCTGAAGACCAGAGCGTTTGTGCATCCGAACCCCAGCACCAGAGACTCGGTGATCTCCAGACTCTCAGCTCTCATCAGTGGGACAAGCTGTTTTAAAAGCCAGGCAACTGAGGGAGTGCCTATCACCTGAGTGATGAAAACACACACACAAACACTGATCAGGCAACATGGACAACCTAAAACTGATCTGGTAACAATATACACTCCATTTTTACACGATCAATACCATTATTAATCAGTCCAAGTTTTTTTTCCCATTTTCCTATTTTTCAACACCACTTTTTTATTTCTTGAATAGGATTAATGCTGACAGCACCAACATGACTGAAAAAGGGCTCTGAAGATTATTCTTTATACTTAAAATCACATTAATCAGAACATAAGGTCAGAACAATAATATGTACTCAGTATTTTCCATTAGGTTTGAAACAATTAATTGATAAATGTATCAAAAAAATACTAACCTGTCATTATTTTAATAATCAAATAATCTTTAAAGTAAACTGTCAAACAAAAATACAGATCACTCTCTGGGTCCAGCTTCTCAAATGTGAGGATGAGTTGCTTTTGTCTGTTTAATATCATTATAAATAAAATATTATGGGATTTTGGACTGCTGGTTGGACAAACAAGACATCACCTTGGGTTTTATGTAGGCCTGTCCCAATAATTACTCTCAGGGAACAATATATTGTCCCAGAAAGACTAGATTTTATGCTACAGGTGTAATAATATAATATCATAATAATGCAAGTACACCCTTCCAGAGAGCAATGAACTTGAACATAAAATGAACATAAAAATATGTTATATGTAAATAAATGAAACTAATAAAACAAAACCACACAACCAAATCAATAAATAATATTTATTGTTAACAAAATCTGCACTTAAATAAATATTAAACATTTGGCAGCCATTCCTAAACAGGCAATAAACTGCCCATCAGTTTCTCAAAGGCTTAAGTGCAAAGTAAAAACATAGCTATCAGCTTAGTTTTTTTTTCTACGTTACTTTGGCTTAAGTGCAGTAAAAAAAAAAAAACAAGGCACTGTGTCCAATTCTTACGATGGACCCTGCTAATTATTCTGGCATCATGTTGCAAAAATGTTGGTGACATTCTTATGTATAAGCATACAGATACAAGGACTATACCAAACAATATGTGGACATGACCTTGACAATTTTTGTTGACTTATAAAGTCGATAATGTAATTATCATGACAGGCTTAGTCTCGAGATATTTTGATGGACATCATCTCACTATTTTCTGCCATTTTAGAAAAATAATTGGCAGATTAATCAATTACAAACCCTGACTATCTGTAAAATTCCAAAGCTTTTTAGGACCCGGAAATTATAAAATAATCACATTTCCAGACTTTCCAGAATTGTTTTAAATCTTTTCTCCGCACAAACACACACCTTGTTATCGTAGGTGACGCTGCCATCGGGCGTGGTGGCCGTGATCTCTGGTGTGGAGGCTCTGAGGTGACCCGGGGACATGATGCTCGGCTTAGCCACACCTAGACACAGGATCAGATAGTTGCGCCACAGAGAGATGTAGTTGTCACTGGATCCTGCAGTGCTGGTCTTCTTAGCATTCACTGGACTGCTGCAAAGAGACAACAGGAGAATATACAGGTGGTCAGATGTTTTCATCTCTCATAGACATGGATCATTTGTTGTATGAAATCTGTAGTCACAGGTTGGTATTTAAGTAGTAATGTGTGTTCTTGTACTTGGGGTCAACCAGTGGCAGTAGCAGCTGTAGCCGTGTGAAAGCGTAGGGCCAGGCGTATCCCAGGGCGATGGGGCAGTGTTTAGGCAGGTGCTCTTGCCGCAAGAAGATGTGCAGACAGAGCACCCACGGGTCCTTTAGACACTGGGCAAAGATCCAGACATGGCTTGGGCTCTTCACATCGTAGGAACTGCTCACCAGTCGAGCCGTCCACTCCACCAGCCACTGGAGGTCAACATGGTGGTTGAGAGGCAGCGTGGACTGAGGGAAGGAAGGGGAGGAAATTAAGGATGAGACACAGCAGCTGAGGAAGTAATCTGGAAGATTGTGATGTGAATAATTCATCAGATGCACTAATGTTACTGATAAACTCTTAACATGAATATACTTACTGAGTCAGAGACAGCCACATGGACAAAGCTGTCCATTACAGCTGGGCTCAGCTGGTCCATGACCTCTATCATGGGTTTGTCATCATCCTGGAGGGAGAGACATTTATAGAATCAGCTATTTTTATAACAGCGTCATACAATGTGAGAGAAGTCACGGGCTGCATATGCTGCATATCTAATTGCAGCTACAGTCAGATGGCACTTCTTCCATCCTGCTGTTTTCATGTCCTTTATCCCTCCCTGGAAGATAATTACCACCAGATGCCTGATGCGAGTTGGTAATATTTGTCTTTGAAATGTATATTTATATATTTTGGCAGTCAATTAAAAGCTGTATGAAAGTTTAAAAAGGGAGAGTATTAAGTAGATTGCTCTCCTCTACGCTTGTTTGGTGAAGATGTGAGTTTCCTGCCCCGTACCTCAGCATGTCCCAGAGCTGTGAAGAGGCAGCGAATCTCTCTCAACACACCGACCGCCAGCTTCCTCGTGCTGATCTGACACGAGCAGAGGAGCAGCAGAGCCAGGCCCTCCACCGCATGAAGCACCGAGCAGTGAGGGCTTCGCTCTGGAAGTCTGGGGCTAGACTGAAGGAGAGGAGAGACAGAGATGGAAGAGAAGTTAGCTACAGTTGCAAATATTCACTGAAAGTCACCTTGTTAGACCAGTAATTCAACCTGTGGTTATGGCAGTTGGCATTTTACATGGTCAAAATGACAATCTTGATGAATCCCAATCCCGATTCAGCTTATCCTGTCATTTTATTGATCATCGTTGGACCGGACGAATTTTAAAACAGAAAATAAAACAACCAGTAATTTCTGAGATTTTGCACGTGAAGCGTGATTAAACAGCTGAAACTGTTTTTTAAAACATATTATTTAGAACTACGAACCTCAACTCCACCTCGCATCTTCCCCTGTAGCTGCAGCGCTAACCTCCACTGTGTGAGCAGCTGGAGAAGAAGCTTCACAGATGCGTCCTGCAGACCCTGATGGGTGTCTTGAACCTGGAGGAGTTTGGAGAGGGACATTTATAGAGGGGCTGCCAGTGTCAATATGCTAGTATGCAGTGTATAATCTTTCACTGTCTTGGTAGGTGCAGGTTTCTGTCGAGTCCATTTATACCTCGCGTAAAAGGAAATGTGTGTAACCAAACAGGACGTCTTCCCTCCAGTCTGAGAAATCAAGTAACAGGCTCTGCAGGGAGTTCTGGGAAATGAGACGAAGCTCATCGTCCATGTGCACCGTAAGTCTGAGGGATGGATAAGAAAACATGAACACAGTTGAATTAACAAGATGTTGTATGATGTCACTGACAGAAAGAGAAACTTCCAAAAAGGATTATTTTAAAATGTATAAAAAAGGTCAGTGATATCAGATATAACTCAACAGAAGAGGACCAGGTATGTATTAGCGTGTTAGCTGGCCAGACATTAAGTCTGTCCTGTCTCAAACTCACCGTGACAGCAGGTCAATGAGCTCAGGTTTGGACATGGCATCAGGAAGGATACGAGGAATGGCAGCCACACATGTCCTGAACAGGTCGATTTTAGGCTTCCTTTCACCACTGTCAAAGACGGAGGGAGACGTTAAGCATGCTTGTATAAGAGACAGTTTATCCCCAAATCAAAAATACACATTTTTCCTCTTACCTGCAGTGCTATTTAAAAATCAGATTTTGGTGTTGCCTAGTGTTTGAGATATTGTCCATAGAGATGCCTGCCTTCTCTTGAAAATAATGAAACTAGATGGCGATCGGCTTGTGGTGCCCAGTTACTCAAGATAATCAACAGACCTTGTTGTGAGCAGTTTCATGTAGGAACAGTTTTCTCCCGACCGAACTACACCTGCCAACCAAATCACCGCAAAGGAGGAAGTGTGCATCTACTGCTAGCTCACCTAGCACCACTGAGCTAGCTAATGTTACAGCTCATTATGTCTACATCTTACGCTGACATGAGCCTCTTGTCTATGAGTAGATGCACACTTCCTTCTGTGGGTGATATGGTTGGCGGGTGTAGTTCGGTAGAAAGAAAATACATTATCTTGAGTAGCCGGATCATGATTTCGAGTGCCATCTAGTTCCATTATATCTGAGAGTAGGCAGACATCTCTAACGCTTGGTATCTCAGTCCAAAACAATCTAGACTGATGAATAGTACTATAGGTAAGAGGGGAAATTTGTGTTTTAGATTTTAGGGTGCACTGTCCCCTTTAGGCACGGAAAGTTAGCCATTTGTGACTCAAAATACAGGCAGGTCATGTTGGCAAAAGATAACAATGTATCTACTTTAAACATGCAAAAGATCTTTATCACATATCATAATTTGTCAGGCTTTGTGCCAAAAGCTCAGTCACTACAATAACACAATTTCATATACTTTACATTTATTTTCTGTGCTTCATTTTCAACTTGGGCTTTGATCACAGTATCAGAACAACCCTCAGCACTAAAAGGATAAAAAAAAGCACTTCAGCTGCTGCATTTTTTAGTTACATACGTGATCATGTCCTCTGGTTCTTTGTTGAGCATCTGGACGCTGGTGAGCATCATACAACGTCCCACCTCCTTGTCCAAGTGTCTCAGGATGTTGTCCAGAGCCTTTCGCACCTGGGAGTAATACAAGGACATGCCTGTGGAGAACAGGAAGAGACAGCACATGGAGTTAGAGACTACATTCAAGATACAGTAGCTTGAATGCCTACAGACACACACAAACCTATCAGTTTGGCTTCTTCTTCAGTCAGTGTTTTGCTGAGATAAGTCTTCTTCTTCTTCAGAGAGTTTCCAGAGGGCAGAGTAGCTCCTGTGTTGGGCATAGGAGGCTCTCCGTCCTTCTGTTGCAGAGCATCTGCTATGACCAGGAACGCCCGGAGACCTATGTTCATACGCTGGAACACAGATAAAACACAGCATTCTCACTACGTGCCAAAGAGACTGTTTATCGAGAGCAAATGTGGAGCAGGGATTGAGCAAATGCACATCTTAAACTTTGACAGGCAAAATTCATGACCTGGAAGACACAACAGAAATGTTATTACTGTGCAGGAATGTCTATGTGGGATGGTTATTATCTAAAAACATTTAATAATTTAATGCCTTTTTTCTGTATTGTAATCTCAAAATCCTGATGTTTTACTGTAACTGGAATATTTTTGAATCATCCCAAATATACTCACAACATTGGCGAATCTTTATAATGTCTTAACTTTGGTTAAACTGATGCAGCAGAACCAGAGATATATTTTCTTTATTATTCCATGCATACTCCTTCCTTGCCTACAATACCCACAATGCAACTAGACTGCCAACAGTTTGGTCAGAGATTAAGAGATGTTATGCTAGTGGCGGCTAATTTAGCCTCAAGCTGCTAGCCTGTAGCAGTGATGAGGAGCAGTCTACAGAGGTCTTGTAAGCTCACGTCTTTTTAACTTCACACGTCCGTATTTTTTAAATTTTCAAAGTGACTCAAGCGACATCACTCTGAGCTCATGCAGCTCCACATGGACCCACAAAAGGCTCTATACAACTTTTTTCACATATGCAGTAGTACCCTCACAGGCCTGTAAACAGACTTTCACGAGAAAACAGTGACGTTCCTCTTTAAACTACAGTGAAGAAAAGATTTGTCTCTGCTCATATGGCCAAAATCCTGTAATCACATTATACATGATGAACCCTAAGTGCATCTCTTTACTGCAGCTAAAAAGGTCCTCCTTCAATGCTCCAACAGAGAGCATACCATTCTTCATCATCCTCACTGACTGAGGACTACAAATAAAAACAGGAATGCTCATCCTTGTAACACAGCCAGGGGGATACACTGTTGATCTGTGTGCGATTGTGTGCACATGATTGAACGCCTGTGTCTGCTCTCTTTACCTCTGGGTTGAGACTGAAGGCTTTGGCAGGCTTCCCGACACTCAGCAGGTCAAATATGATCTCCTTCATGGCGAAATCCAGTCTCTCCTGAACAGAGGACAAACAAACTGGTGTTACAGAATTACAGAGATAATGTGGTGTGAGGCAGCTCGTAGTTTGTCACCTATTGGACATTTTTATTACATAACTGATTATATAGAAAATTAACAAATTAAAAAAACAGTGTAGACATTAGTCATATTTGTGTTTACACTAAATATATATGCCATTTGGTAATCGTGTATTATCAAACCAACTGATATATTGACATTTTCTTAGCTTTTTACTAGTTTCTGCAACTCTGACAGTTAAGAATTTTGGATTAGTGTTCTGTGTTTCTTCGTGATAGCAGAGAGAAGCACAGAATAAATCTTGGAGGCTGGCATATTGTTGGCTCTGCACTAAACACAACAAACCCCACTTCATTTCTCATGTGCTTTGACCTAAAGCAGAGATGCCAACCTACAACTCCATGCAAGTTTGAGCATGCGAGTGTGACACATACCTGTGCAATAAACTGGATAATCTTGACAAAAATATTAAGGGGCATGTCTCTTGGCACAACGCTCCGACTCCCTTTGGGAAACAGGGTGGAGGTGATGGACGTCAGACGACTGGGGGACAAGAGAGAGGAGACACAGGCAGACAGGGAAGGGAAAGTGTTGAGACATAAGTTACATACCTTTGCTGAAACACTTAAAATCTCTGATGTTACAGTACAAAAAAAGAAATAAAAAACAGCTCGAACTGACAGAGTTTCTAAGGAGACTTTTATTTGTAGCCTCATTTGTTCGTGGTAACTGTAACAAGGTTTCATATTATAGTTAACAATGATGCTGATGATGCTAAAATAAAGTTTGAAGTTACATCTTACATGCTGTTGATGAGAAATATAAAGATATGTGGCTGTTACCTCTGTGTTCCAGTGTTGCTCTCGCACTTTATTCGGATCATGTAGACCCACAGCAGGCGGTAGAGTGATTCCAGAGCCACACGAGCCATCTTGGGATCTTTATTCTGCATTCATGCACATGCAGACAAAAATTTACTTTGTTTCACCTGGTGCAGTATTTCAAATACAGGACATCCGTCTTATAAAAATGTTTCACAGGAATTCCTTACATATTGTACCTTACAGACGCATTATGATTGACTGTGTGCGCCGCGTTCACTGCTTTCTAAGCATGTGCGGTGTGATCATCAATCAAACTTGTTAGTGAGTCTTTATGAGACCCTGTCAGTCATGTTGATCTTAACCTGCAGTGTTTCCCTTGAGGCAACGCATACTGATGGTTGTATAGCTGAAGTGGTATTAGGTAGCACAAGTGCAACAGTGTGAAGTTCGGTGTTGTGTGCTCGTACTGTTTGTCACTTTGTCAAAATCATTCCCCATAGGGCAGAAATTTATTGCACAGACTGCATTGATTTGTGTGCAAGTACACTGCCTGTGATTTATCTAAACTAGTGCAGCGCCTGTTCAAAACATGCCTGTTAGAAATGGGCCGATTGTTTGTCCCCCAGCATTTCTCGAGTACCGCTCATCCAAACAACTTCACACTCAACAATGTGCTTCCATGGGTCCAGTGCAATACGCCTACCATGACATAAACACGTCACGTGACAATGCTATATGCGTCATCGGGGTGGAAAAGCTCACACGAACACTTTATGGCCTTAATGACATCAAAGCCAGGTTATTTGCGGGAACAAAAGCAATCGTTAAAGTTACATCACTGATGCCTGATGTGTTTCACTGTACTACCAGTGTACAGGTTTCTCTGGTCTCTTTGTCTTCATCTGTTCTGAATGTACTGTGGTGAGCATCAGAGAGCAAGTTGTACCCAGTATGCTGTTAGTTAGATAACCTCTAATATGGCATTTCTTGCATGGTATAGACAGAGAGGCTGACCTTCAGGTTTGAGAGGCAGTTGTTGAGGAAAATGTGCCAGCGGCTGAGGAAGAACTGCTTCTGGCTGACACACAGCAGACAGGTCACCAGAGGATACAGAGCCTGGTGTGGGGAGAGAAGACCAATGGGAGACATTCTCATCAGGCACCTTAAATTCAAAGTTCATTCATTGAATGTAAATACAAAATCAAGGATACATGCTGTCTTCCTCACCAGTTTTCTACATGCAGGATGCTCATTACTTTGAAACTGTTTTGAGATGTAAAATCTTTCAACAAAGTCTAAAAAGGTGTGTGACTCATTTATTTCCAGCTGAAATCTAATTTCTAAGCTCTTCCTTTGTCATCTAAAAACAATGGGCAATTACATTAATTCAGATTAAGCTTTTCACAGTCGTGTTCCACTTGTTTCAGGCCCCATAAATCCCTCATTAACCGTTTTTTTTCTCAATCATTTATGTCTTCCTCTCTGGAATTAAGTCAATTTATAAAAAACAAAACACATATTTCTCTGTGCTTTATCTTTCCACAAGGTTTCATTAGAAGAAAAGCTGAGTCTGATGTTTAATTCATTTATAGACTTGGAATTTCCCTCACAAAATTGAAGGTGAACTCTGGTATCTTTCAACCATGGCCCTATTTTCCCATGTTGGTGTCTAGGGGACTTGTGGGAACAATGGTTTTTGAAATTGGTCCAGTACTGAGCGAAAGGACGGCAGCTAGCAGCCGCTTAACAGCTTCAATGTAACCACTCAAGACAGGTGCACCCCCAACAAATTATGTTTATTAAAAGTGCTTGTTGTTGCCAGTGACAGGCTCAGAGTGTCTTACAGTGTTACAGAAGGGACTCTACAGAGAAATACAATTTTTGTCTGTGCCTTTGCCTCGTTCTGTTCTTTTTTTGTGTCCAAGTTTTGCTTGCTTTGCATTTCCACATTGACGAAATCAGCTGAATATTCAGCCATGATGGCAGAATGGTAATCTTCTAAACAAAAGTAATATTCGCTTTCTGCACTTCAACAAAACAAACTATTACCAACGATACTCTCTCCAACTCTCACTTGCGTTTCCATCGTTTTCTTCCTGCAACAAGTTGCCTCTCATGACATTCCAGAATGAGACGTCTTGTTAGTGAGACTTGGACACAAAACAGACTTGAACAAGCGAAAGGTAAAGAAAAACATGTAATTTGTCTGTTGGGTCCTTGCTGTGATTTTTTTAAAACACTCATAATAACAGTCGGAGCCTGTTAGTAGCAAAACATGCACTTTGAATGGACGTGCTACCAGCTGCAGCAACCCCTCTTGATACCAGACCAATTTCAAAAATGATTGTTCCCACTAGTCACTTAGACACAAAAACACAGGACAATACGGTCTAGGTTGAAATATTGGAGTTCCCCTTTAAGGAACAACAGTTTGAACAATACCATTATGAGCATACAGAAAACTTTGAACATAAAGTTCACACACAGGAATGTGAACTCAGTGTCTGCTCTGTTCAATCTTCTTGTAAGGGCATTTAGGTCTGCATGCAGATCATTCTTAAACATGAATAAACCCTTGTCATAAATAGTTATGGAAATGCTAGCTCTGAGGAGCGCATCATTTGCCTGTCACTCCTTATCAAAGTTGGTATTTGTTATCTGTCTCTCTCACATAACAGCTTGTCCTCTCACAGGTGATCACAATGTCAAAGGAAAACAATTACGGAAATGCAGCACATTACTGTCATTCCTATCATTTCTGTTCATTCTGCTCTGACATGGCAGCTTATTGTTTGTTTGTGTGCATGCCTATGTGCTGTTCATTTGGAAAAAGTGAAAAAAAAAAAAAAAACACAGACAATGTATGTGTGCACAGAGGAGTGTCAAGTCTTGAATGCATGGTTTACTCTGAGTATGTGGAGAATCTAACTGAAGGAAACGTGCATACTGGTCAGGGGACATGTCTGCAGCCCTGAGGACACGAGTCTCTGACACAGCTGGAGGAACCCGCGCTTGCACATATCACAAATAACACATCAGCAGCAGCCAGCAATAATACGACACAGCGGCCTGATGCCATGTTTTGTTATTCAATTTGTCTATCAAATGGCCGTGGAATACAATCCAAAGATGGGGCGACATTTAGGAGAAAACTACAGGGAAACATTGTCTCGGCAAGAACTGCTGGGCTTATTTGACATGCCAGATGGTTTGTTACAGAGAAGCATCTGAGAGGCCGTCATTAGAAACTGTTTGGAAAAGGGCAGGCGCTTTCAAAAAATACTTAGCAGGTAATTGGATGAACCATCTGCCTATCACCGTCTGTAATGGGCCAGTTGAAAGAAGAGTGAAAACATCTTTTCCATCCAGAAAAGCCTTTGATACCATTTTTTTTCAATGAAGAAATACTAATCTGATATAGCTGATGCTATTGCAGCATCTACGCTGACCTTATTAGGAGCCGAGATTGTTAATCACCTCTCTGTGTCATCACGCACACCTATAGCACACCTGGAGTTGCCAGTAGCTCCTCACAGGAAACTGACTGGTCAGACAACACTGGTCATGCAGACACAAATGCATCACTTGAAGCCTGATAAGATGGATTTTGCGTGGTCTCATGATATTGCGAGAATCCAGCTGCTGTGCAATAATAATGTGCTGGACTAAAAAAAAATCCCCACCTTATGAAGTCATAAAAATCTTATTTACTATAAACCAGTGAAAAAAAACCTTAAATAAACTAATGTCAAGAATCTTCTTGAAATGAGGTCGGCAGCAAAAAAACATAAAAAAATGGAGTTTGAACAAACTTGAAAAAGTCGATTTGCATTGGAAAAATGTTTGAAATAAACGTGCCTGATTGGCTGTTCTAAGAAAACTAGGACTTTAGTAACTAAACTAAAAATGAACATGAGAGATAAGCAATGAATCTTCTTGTTACGAGGAAAGAATGAAGTTAAATTTTGCTACTCCTGCTTCAGAGAATGTTGCCGGTTGCCAGTTAAAACTTTTAGGCAGTGATAAAGGGAATTTTCAGTAGTTTTATAGCATGCTTGTTTGTGTGAGATCAATATCTTACTAAGGCTGATTCCCCTGCCTGTTTCCCTGCTGTGGGCAAATACTGCCCACCTCACTCTGCTAAAAAAAAAACTAGCCTGTATACTGCACACTGAACTCCTGTCTCCTTCCCATGGACAGATAAAAGCCCACATGTTGGAAAGTTACAGTAAGTGCTTTCATCAGTTGCTGTTAATGGAGAGGAAATGAAGAGAGATGAGCGGCGATGAAACACAATCCGGGGGGAAACTTACCAGAGAGTGTTTCTTCCTAGAGGACAGGTCCAGTGTGGTATCGTACAAACTTTCTACGAAATTTCGGAGACACGGCACATTCACCTCGTTCTTCACAGTCTGGAGGAGAATGCAAAAGTTAGTTAAGAGAAGTGTTTTCACCAGAGCCTAACCCCACGCATACAGACAGACAGACATAGTCATGGGCTTAAAATTTTGATTATTCTCAAGATATAAACACAGCAGGAAAACAGACTTTTTTTGTCATGGAGATCTCTTAATAAAAAAGACAAATAATAACTTCAATGCATGTCTGCCTTAAAATAAATAAAAAGAAAGTCAAAGTGCACTAAGTGGTGCTCCTGGCAGTAAGATGAAATGCACTCACAGCAGCTACAGGTACAAGTATCTCCACAAAGAGTCCGGCTAATGAGTGTTTAATGTCTTTATCCTTCACTTCCAAGAAATACTGCGCACATTCCTGAAGACAGAGAGAGAGAAAGAGAATCAGAGACTGTGAGAGAAACAATGTATATGCATCATGAGTCTGTGTATAAGAGGTTAAAGCCCCTGTTTCGTTATGGGTGAAGGAAATGAGAAGCATTTACTGCAATTCCCATCAAAGGACCAATAAACAAGGCACTTAACCCCTAATTACTTCAGTGGAACCTCTCAGCAGTCGATAGTATAGCTCTATGACGACACTAAACTGCTTCTAGACATAAATATACGCAAAGAAAGAGGGCGTCAGTCCTATAAACATGCCTTCAGATTCCTCAACCAGAACCTTTTCACAGTGTGTTGGCATGTAAAATAACAGGTAGGAGACCAAATGATTTCAGCTCTACCTGCATGAACTGGAAGGAGGCTTCGAAATCTTCCACCGGGTACATTTTGATGCGGAAGAACTTGAGTCCCATGATGAGGCTGATGGTCGACTGGATGACGTAGGGGCTCTGCTCTTTCTGTCTCAGCTCCTTCAGCTCTGAGATGAACTTCTTCCTCACTGCTGGGAACCTGCAGAGGAAATTGCGACCACATGTGAACAGTTGCTCTGTTCTCTGGAGTTTTGGTAAATGTTTTCATGCCCTCAGCTGGTATGGTTAGTGGGATTACTGTAACTAACATGAGTTTGTTTGCTAATGTGTTGTGTGTAGATCACATTTTTATAACTCTTACTGTTTTTTTGCTTTTCAACTTAGGTGTGAGAGCTTGTGTGTGTGTGTGTGTGTGTGCTTGTGTATGTACCAACCATCCAAATAGATTTAACCAACAGAGCTGTGTAGGCCTATATTTAGAATGGCATCTGGAGGGGTGATGTGGAGGGAATGCGTGTGTGTTGTGAGCGTGCACTTGTTCTTCAAGTGTCTGCGTTTTGCTGCGCATGCTTTTGCATGCTTTACAGGGGTTGCCACGGCAGTTAATTAAGTGGAACAGTCGTCGGCCTTCTGTTTAGTGCTGACTGTTTAAATAAGATACACATAAACAATGTAATCTATAAACCGAGCTGGAAAAGCACACACATGATGCCAAGAATAAAGTATGTGCCCAGACTGTTTATTGCCTGTGTGTACTCAACCTTTTCACAGCCGCTTGTGTAAATGATGTCCAACGAATAAATAACACTGAAAAGGGTGTTAGAAATCAACTAAGAAGCTTAATTAAATGGAAAACCCATCATCAACACATGAGACAGTCTGGGTTTGCTAAGCTGGATCTTAAGGTATCGACTTTGAGCCATTATAAGATCGATCACTGTGTTAAATGATGTGATGGCTCAGCTAGTGTGTGTGTGTGTGTGTGTGTGTGTGTGTGTGTGTGTGTGTGTGTGTGTGTGTGACAGCGAGGACTGAGCCGCCCTGTGAACCTCCTCCATCACAGTAATAACCTCCTGGAAAATGGGAGCATTGCTCATCTCTCAACACACACAACATTACACAGACGAAGGACCATCATCTGGAGTGTCATTATCCTCAGTTGCCATCTCTCTCTCTCTCTCCCTCACCCTCTCTCACACACACACACACACACACACACATGTATTTACCAACACACACACAACCAGACTACCAGCACGCAGGGAAACGCAGACATTTGTTTCTCAGTCACTTGTACTCAAAACAAAGGGACAGCCTTTGTATTTGCTGTGTCTACTGAAAAAGAGGTCAAGAGGAGGACAGGTAGCTACTGTAACGACACATTACATTTTACTGACAAATAAGCACACAGCTGCAATGCAATCTGCATTACAAATTCTGCCTTAACTGAGAGTAAGACATGAAGAATTTCATTCAAATTAAAAAATAAAAAGATAAGAAATAAGATAATAAGAAATTTTAGCACTTAATCACACATTTGATGAATATTACATTCTTGAGACTAAAAAAGTCATGTCAAAATAATTTCATGTTGATGTGTTCAAAGTCTTTTAAACTATGTGCCCTGTTTCCTTTTTCTTTTTCTTTTGTTTTTGTGCTTTGTTATATTTTAGGTAGCCTTGTATAACATCTTGGCCAAGGGACTACAGATAAAAAAATAGCCTTTTGGCTAATTCTGTCATTTTTATACCATGTGTATTTACTAATTTGCACTGTCCCTTCTTAAATAAACTAAACTAATAAATCCACACTAAACCGAATTGTAAATATGTTCGTGATTGCCACACATACCTTGTGAAGAGTGGCACAAAAAAGACAGTTGTAGCTTTATGAATGACTGTAAATTACTTTAATAAAAAAGGAAAGCCCTGGGAGTGCTTCATACCAGCGCTAAGCACTTTTTTGACTAAACACTGCGCATAATGCTATGTTAAACAGAGGGTTGACGGCACTGTTAATAATAAGCTAACAATGCATACAGTAGTAAAAGCACAACGCTAACCAGCAACATTTAGTGTCTGGCCGGACAGTGATGACACCAGGGCTTTTTGAAAAGTTCAGAGATTTTCGACTCGAGGCGCACAGAGAGGCCGCACAAAAAGTCTCTGGAAAAAGACTGCACGTAGCGCTAGGCATCTGCATGTGGCCACATACACTCTCTCCTCATTTGGTACAATTGAAAAAAGACATTGGCGCTCATAAAGTAATGCTATGCAGAGACTCAGCCTTACAAACGTTTACAGAGACTGTGGCAAATTGGCGACTACCTCAACATATTCACAACAAACACTCCCCAAAACTTAGCGTCAAGAGATACAATCAACTCCTGCTGACATACAAACATTTAATGCATACACACAAACAAACACACATGCAGTATAAACATAAATTTGCACAGTACCTGGACTGAGCTACAACTCCCACTACTTCAGCATAAAGGTCAGCCACTATGTGCATGTTGCCTGTGTTGGGTCCCAGATACCTGAGAAATAAACACAAAATATTATAATGTGCGTATAGTGCTGTGCAGAACTAATCTCTTACAATTGTAATTTGCATTAAGTGAAGACAGTAATGCAGTGAAACTTTAGACTGTGCTTCATTTGATTAATTCTAATAAATGATTTGTGTTTCTGTATGTGATCAATCTCACCCTTCTTTGTATTTGAAGTGCTTGAAGGCCAGGTTTATAACTTCTTGGATGAGTCCATCCAAAAGAGGATGGAGGGGGATCTGGATTGAGAGAAAAAGTTTACAATTTTAATACAATACATCCAAATAAAATGTGTTATTTCTATGTATTCTGCTCACAGTCTGGGGAGTGTGGTGTGCAATATATTTGCATATTCTTGACTGGATCAAGAATATGCAAATGACTCTTTTATATTAGCTTGAATTTAGTTGCGGTTTCACATGAGTGGGGTGGGAAATACAGCATCTGACAACTGATGTCAAGTAAGGTGTTCATCAAAGGAGTGTGATAAATATTCAGATCTTTTCCTGTGATTGTTTAAACCCTTTCACAGTATTATGCAGGCATCTGTATTAAAGGATTCAATCAAAGGAAAACACTTTTCTACCTGTGTGTCTTTTTTCCAGAGATAAAATATTGTTTAAGGACAGACTTTTCTCCTTAAAACGTTAAACCCACTCTTACAAATAAGCACGACAAACTGAAGAATTATCGAGACTCACCTGCTTCAAAACTTCTATAAGCACTAGAGAAAAGATGAAGTCTATTGCCAGATCTCTCCGCTCCAATAAGTAGTCCTTCTGTTGCTCATCACTGAGCCAGACAGACAGACAGAAACAAAGAAACAGAAACATTAGTTGAGACATTCACAGTAACAGTCTTGATCCTATGAGAGTCTGTTCTTGCGTCTGTACTCAGCACGCAAATGTATCACACGTGAGAATCTGCTTTTATTAAACTGCGTTAATAAATTAATTGTAGGCACCATCTGGTCCACTATGTAGCTGTGTGTACTTGGTGTGTGTGAAGTTTGTCTGAGATTTGGACGACACCTTCAGTACTATATTAGTTTGTTTTTTTTTACAATGACAGTATTGTTTCAAGTTAGACTTTATTTTACTGCTGTTTCTTTTTGCGTTTTAGCGTGGACAGAAATATTTTGTAAAATAAAGGCAGTCTTTTCTTTCCAAAAATATCTGCATATCTGTAGATAGGGTTGTAGTGGGTCTTACTTACAGTACTGCTTATTGTTTATTGCCTCTAAACATAAGTAAGTTTGTTAAAAAAAAACAACTTAATTATCCAAAATAAATAAGCATATTGCATAGGAGTGTTGTGGTGCTTTGTGTTTTTTGACCCTGCATTTTTTGTATGTATGTGCGGTAATTTAAACTTGCAGATCCCTGACAACTACTCGGGTGTGTGCGCTGTTTGTGTCCTCTCACTTTTTTGACTTTGTGTTGGCCCTGGGTCGATATTCATGGGACTCGTCTTCCAGGCCGTTCTGCCTCTTGTACCAGTCAAACAGAGTCCTCAGGATAGACGGCAGGCAGTACTCTGCTAGAGAACTCATACTGCTGATCAACTGCACAGACAGAAGGAGGAAGAGCAGGTGAAGGTAAGCAAAAGGTAGAGAGGATAATCCCACTTCTAAAATAAGACAATGTTACGGCAAGATTTGGAGGACAAAGAGAAAAAAACGTTAAGACATGACGATGTGTCCACGTCGGGTACACGCACCTGGTCGAACTGTGGGTCCTCTCCTCTCTGCAGAGATTTGTTAAGTGGCTTCTCCTGTGAGGTAAGAAAAGACAGAAGGGACAACAATCATGTCAGAAAAGATGAGAACAGGTCAACATATTTTTACGAAACTCGAAATTCGAATGCCCCAAAACTGTCAAACTCAAGCAGACCAAAGTGTCACTGCATTTAGTGCATTTGTTTAAACTGCTATCTCCCCAGACTCCAACCTGTGTAGCCTATAAATACCAAAGACATCGCATTTTCAGCTAAATGTAAATGTGATCATCAGCTAAGTGCCTACAACAAGCACAGATCCAATTTCATTACTGAGTATCACACTAACTGCCTTGGCACTAACCTTGTTATGTTCCTTTCATGAAACATCAGGTGTTCAGCCCTGAGTGCCATACAAATTAAATGCAGGGACAGATTCTGATATTCTTAAGAAATGGCCCAACAGGCCACCAATCCCCTAAATTTGGTGCCCAAAGTGCATTTTGGTGGCCCAAATGTTAACTTGAAACAATACAGAAAGGTAATTTAATGCAACTTATCACACCCTTCCTTAACTGTGACACTTCAATAAATGAAAAGACATTGAATAATTATATATTTTCATTCTGCTATTGGAATTGATAACTCAAGTTCTTTGTAAACATATGATACATGTATTCTCTCACAGTCTCTATCACTTGTGCACCCCACCCCCTCCATTTCGCTGCCTCACACACGCTCTCCCTCCCTCCCAGCATTGAGCCTGAGTCATGTCTGCAATAAAACACCACAGTACATTACGTCCTTGCATGTGTCATATTCTAGTCATTTAAACCCCTGCCTCCATTCACTTCTATATTTTCGTAGTGGTTTGCTTTTTTCATAGTCTGCCTTTTTAGGTTTCTGGCTCTTCTGTAGGGATCGAATTTGAGTAGACTTCATAAACCTGTACTTCAGTGGCTCTGACATGCTGGTCGCTCGCTGGTAACAAGTAGTGTTTACTGTTTTTGTAGAATAATGACGAAAAAGTGAGAGTTAATCTGGATGTTTGTGGAACAGTATGAGGATTTTTTTTTCTTTACCTTTTATGTAATCTCACTGAGACACACAGTCTCATTCTCAAGAGCCTTAATAAAACTTAGTGGCCACAGGGGGTCACCTACAGGAGATGTTTGGTAGAGTAACTTTTCGTGGCCACGGGCCATTGGGCCATGGTTATTATTGATCCCTGACAGGCCAAACCACTATACATTAAGGAGTGTGCTCAAGCTTTTATTTGAAAGCCAAATAAACCCCAATTAATCCTCTAGACCCAAAGAAGCAGTGTCAGGCATACTTTGTCGATGATGCAAAAAGGTAATATGAGTGACACAGGTTGGGTTACAGTGCGTCAGACATATTTGGTTACTTCTGCAGGCAGAAAAGATGCAAATATGTGAATCCAAGAGATCTACCTCACAAACCATGAATCTGTCTGGATCAAATTCCACCACCTACTGTGGGTGGTTGATGAGATGAAATGTATGTGGCAAAAATATATGTGGAAATTGCAATTTCTAATGAACATTGTGTTGATGTGGGCGCCACTGTGGTGCCTCACAGTCACCTCACAGCAAGAGGGTTCCGGGTGCGAACCCGTCAACTGGCTGGGGCCCTTCTGGGTGGAGTTTGCATGTTCTCCTTGTGTCAGTGTGGCTCCCTCCCACAATCAAACGGCACAAAGGTTAGGTTAACTGGTGACTTTAAACTGCCTGTAGGTGTGACAATGAGTGTAAATGGCAAGGTGTACCCTGCCTCTTGCCAAATGTCAGTTGAGATAGGCTCCAGTCCCCTTGACACCCTTGACAGGACAAGCTGTTATAGATAATGAATGACTTGTGTTGATGTCGGAAAATTTTTCTAGCTGCAGCTGAACATCAAATATAACAGAAGTTAAACAAATGTGAAAAGGGCGATATAAAATCCTGTGGCATTTTGCACCACTGACAAAGCCAGTAGACCTTGAATGTTGACAAATGGCCAATGGCTAAAAAAAAGTTGTAGTGTGTCTCACTGTGGGATGCAAACTCAAACAGCTAGTCCTACCTACGCTTAAATATATAACTGAAGAGAAACAAGTAGATATAGAAAACATATTTAGGTTATATTATATATAAACTAGGATGCTGAGCATACATTATTTAGCGGTGATGCACATTGTAGGCATCACTTCCTCTGCACAAAAATGATTAGTCAACAGATACTGTCATAAAAAGCCACTCTGCATCACACAATTAGATCCAGTGTAAACCCAAATGATGCTGTAACCTGAGAGAGATGGGATGAGACAGCAAGATACAGATGCAAAGTCACTCACCAGCGGTTCGGCCATGATGATGCGAATCTTGCGTTCAGAGAGCAAGGTGAAGTTGGCAAACAAGCTTTTAAGGACAAACTCGCCCGGCTTGCTCTCAGGGTCCACATTGACTGGCGCCATGACGACAGGACCTTTCCTCTCTCCCAAGGTTCCACTGACTGGCGGGAGGGGGGGCTTCAGTCCCACTGGAGAGGCTGGGGAGAGTCAGGACAGGTCAGTTAGTAAGACAGGGGTTTTGGAAGCCTGCTGTGCCCTCCAAAAATCCCCTAATCGTATTCACTCCTATTATTACTATTCTTTTCCTTTACTTCCATTTGGGGTATAATCACACTTTAAGCTTTGGAAACATAGTTTGCATAATTTGAAGTTTTGGGGGTTAAAACAACAAACACTGACCAAACTGCTTTATAGAGACATTAAATAAAACAGAGGCACAATCAAATATAAACAAAGGAATGATCAGATAAACATAGAGGAAGTCAATTGTTTCCTAGGACTCTGTAAGTTAACAGTGGTTACAACTAGAGTTGGGTCGACCGCCGTTCTGATCTGGTGTATGAGCTTAAACCGGTTTGATTTTATGCAACCAGATTGAACCAGTATTTGTCATTATGGCGTGTTCTGGTGAATTAAAAAGTAGCCTACATCAGCAACCTGTGCTGACAGTGTCATGGTGCTAAATCCAACTTGTATTACATTAGTAATATGACAACACGATTAACATAATATCATGTTTGTTTATAAACAGAATATCAAAGCCACTAGTGTCTGACAGGCTGTGCGCAATTTACCGCCAGGCTGAGGCCAGTGTTGTGTCAAAGGCTATTTCCTCGTCGACATATGTTCCCCCCTGCCTAAACCTGAACCAAACCCTTAGCTCTAAACCTAACCACCGAGAAGGGCACTACACATTAATGGGAGAAGCACTATTAGATGGAGGTACACATTTCGAACACCAGCAAAAATAAAGAGGTAAAATTTTAGAAGAGGTGGGAGGGGGGAAGATGTGCACAGCGCACATTGTGTTTGTTTACTGGAAAGTTGATGTGTTTTTTGGGGTGACGAGAGGAGACATGGCAAAGTTGGTTTCAAAGAAAACTAGAACTGCGCCAAAATTGCAACATTTTGTATTTGAAACCAAAATTTGTAAATTCATTGTCACTCAGGAACAGCTGCTAAGTCAAGTGTCACACCTAGTGGTAAAATTCCATGCACCAATCTGGTGTTTGGCCTAACAGCAAACTGGTTTGAAAATTTTTACACCGAACCAACCCTTGTTTCTATTTTCCATGTTTTTAGCCCTTATTTGTTTACACTCTGGCAAATTGGCACCACTAAAAGTATGCCAAAATATCTAATAGCAGTTCCTGTTTGCAGTGTACTGATGCATAAACTGACAACTATCACTGTAGTTCTTTTATACTTCAGTCAACTTAAAAATATGATGATTCTAAGGCAAGTTCTGCATCCATGAGGAGCATCTTTTCTACGGTAGACATTGGCGATTATATCCATGGAAAGTCTAAATCACACTCAATGGACAAATATGTGTATCATTTCGGTGTGTTCAGATTTTTACTGAGTTAGCCTATGTCTCCAAAGGACTATGATTTTTGACATAAAGGGTTTTAAAGAAGCTTAATTGCCTCCGTGAGCTATGTGTCGCAACCACTGCTGGAGCTCCAACTGCTACAATAAAAACTGTGCAGCTGAGACACAGACCCTCATGCTCTCTCTCCAGCTGCTGTTTTTAATAAACTCATACTTTAATAAACAAACATAATTTGTCAACATCAGAACATCCATTTATCATGTTTTTCTGCTAAGTTAAAATTCATCAGTCATGACTGATTTATGTTGATTATGCGTCCAAGTTTGACAGGGTACACTTTCCAGGCACACAGACGGACACAAACACTCGCTGGGCAGTCCATGTTTTCATTTCTCCCCTCTGATTACATCATTAGGGAGAGTGGGCACTATTAATTCTCGCAAGACGTAATAATAAACAGAGAGAGAAAGATAGACAGGGAGTGGTTGGAGTCTGGAAGGGGTTTCAGTGAGAGACAGATGACAGACGGACAGACAGATATAAGAAGGGAGAGGGCATTTCCTGCCAGGCGTCTCTAGGAATATCGACATGCCCTTAAAATAGAACAAACTCATCACTGTGAGCACATTTCCAGTGTCGGTGACGATACACTATAAGAGCTTAAGCAAGACTTTGTAGAAATCAGACATCCACTGTGGACTGTTGTTACTTACAGAGAATCATAGGTCAACTAATACAGTTTACGAAAAGACACACACACAACTTCTACAACAGTAGCCAACAAAGGAGGCTTGTATGACTGGAGTATATTTGCATGTCTGACTCCCTGAACCAGGTGCGTAAAATACTTCTTTCCACAAGGCGAAACAAAGCAACAATTTACCAGAGCATTTCCAAGAAGTGGCTTTATAGTGTGGGCCAGTTTACAACTCAGGTCAAGTCTAACCGACCTTTCATGACCACGTGACCTGACCTCACTGAAGAGGTGAGATGTAAACACAAATTCCTGAACGGGACAAGCCACCAGGCTTCATAGATAGCAACTTGTTTGTGTGAAAGCTGAGTACTCAAACGAGGCAAACATGTGTGCACATGAACACACACTCCTGCACGCTTACCAAGGCCCTTGATGAAGCTGATGACACTAGCCCTGCTCCATTTAGTTGGCACTTCCATGGTGCAGGAGGAAGTCAGACAGACAAGGACGGGTGAAATGGGCAGGAACAGTGGGATGGAGGAGGGATGGGACGTTAGGAGGGGGCAGGAGGCTGAGGAGGGGTAGCTAAGAAGTCTACAAAGTCTGAAATATAGCTCCCATGATTGACAAATAAAAGTAATTCCTTGTGGGGAGATGTGCAGCACAGAAGAGTTTGTCTTTAATATCCGGCTATTCCACCATGACAGCAACTATAGACATCAGAATACTGTCTGGCTTTGACACTAGGCAGGTTTAACCAAAGCTAAAAGTGTGAAGCTCCATCCTTCAGAAAATGAAAAGGTGGGTAAAGTGAAAGACATGTGCCTGGGGCGATAAAGGAAACTCTCATGACAGCTGTATTCCACATTCAATCCAAATGAAACAGGAAGATATGCTGTATCCACAGACTGGAGGAGCCATCGCCAAGTGAAGACCACTTGGCGCCTCTGAGCTGCAAGCGTTGCAATCACAGAGTAGGAGATGGTGTCACAGTGTCTTCTCGAAATAGCAGAACCAACTTGTTCCGTCTTGAGTGAACTCTACCAACTGGGGTCGAGAAATATTCCACTGTACTGTTCCAGCAGAGGCTTGGGTGGATTAGAGGCTGCGTAGGGCCCCATGCTTGAGAGCTACACGAACCTAAAGACCAACTATCAGTTTCTACTTTAGCTCCTGCTCCGACTCCAGCCTGCCATCACTTCGCTGTTGCTCCTGTGAACTTGGAATCCATGCATTGTAAAGTTGTGTTGAAACAAAGTGCTTCTTTGAGAGCGGTTTTGTGGCTGTTCTTTAGTTGTCAGTAGCAGTTAAGTAAAGTCTGCTCCTTGTGGAGATCTGACCAGAAGAGTTGGGTTGGAATTTCAACACTGCCCCGAGAGAGAGGCGAGGGGAGGAGGGAGGTGCTATATATAGAGCACTGGAGGTCACTCTCTTACATACCCACCACTCCCACTGACCCCTACTCATACACAAGTGCACACACATGCAAACACAAACACACTCCTCACAGAGACACACACAAATACACGTATACATGTAGGCGGCGGGTTTCCAGGGCAGACAGTGACAAATCAGGAAAACTAAGTAATGTGATTAAACTACAAAGCAAATGGCACTGATTTAATTCAGTGACTGCAAGGTTGACTCTAAACAGAGATAATCCAGTAAAGCTTCTCTGTGACAAGAATTTAAGGTGCGTGTGTGTGTTTGTGTGTACGTGTGTGTGAATGTGTACATGCATGTGTGAGTGTGACCATTATGCATGTTGGTGGGCAGAAGAAATGAGAGTAGGAAGACGTAATGGTGTCCAATAAAGCTGTCGATGTAGCGCACCAGAGCACTTCCCGGGACCCTCGTAGACATTTGCATGAGTCAGCATTTTAAGAGATGAGTCAGGAGAAATTTACCATGTCTAGTCAATACAAGTCCTCCTTGGTTTAATTACATTTTAGATCCTGAAAGATTTATTTTACATACAGTGTTGGACAAGACTGAGACAAAGAAGTAATAAAGAAAGAAAGAAAGAAAGAAAGAAAGAAAGAAAGGACTGAAATGCCAAAAAGACAGACGAGCAAGAAGCAGCGTAAGTGAAGAGGAGACAGAGAGGACGTAGAGAGTAGACCTGCAATGATTGACTGATGAATCGATTAGTTGATGGACAGAAAATTTTGTCAGCAACTATTTTTATAATTATTGCTTTAGTCATGTTTTAAATGAAAACAGTACCATTTGATGAACATTTGTTTAATTCTTTTGTTTTTTGTCGTACACAAAAGTAAACTGAATAATTTTGGGTTTTGGACTGTTGGTTGGACAAAATCCGACATCAGCATGGACTGCAGGAAATTTTAACTGTGATTTTTCACTGTTTTCCAGCCAAACGATTAATCGATAAAGAAAATAATCAGCAGATGAACTGGTAACAACAATAGCGGTTAGTGGGAATGCAAGGATGTGAGGCTTTTGGGGGGGCAAGGTGTTTGCTACTCTATCAAATGTACTGGATGTAGTTGTACCAAGCTCTCCAGCTTCACTACTCCTAAATAATAGCTCCTCATTAAAATAAACATGTTTGAATCATAAATTGTATAAATAATAGATGTAGCTAACATGACGTCACCCACTGGTTTGTGGACTGCTGTTTTGAAGCCTCAAGTTTGACATTTCAGCTGTTGTCATCTTGGTTTTTTTGGCGCCAGAAGTGATTATATTTGGATAATTGTAGTGCTGTGGATGAGTGAGGTTTGGATCTGACTCAAAGATTGTGGCCTTTCATTCAGGCTGTCACTGACTTTGACTTTGGGCCTTGATAAAATGTAAATGGTTGAGTTATAAAAAAATCACCCCGTGTACAGTTGTCATGAATGTTGAAATTAGCTACAGTTCCAGGCTGTAAACATGTTTATTTCTGCTGTAAAGTTGGGCATTTCAACATGGGGGTCTAT